TGAATGATCTGGTCCTTTAGGAAAAGTTTTCTGATGCCTGCTCTAGAGATGGTCGGGGGAGGGGAAGAGGGAAGGGAAGAGGTCAGTGGCTGAAGAGGAGGCAGTCAACCAAAACCTTAACAGTGTTCTAGAGGCAGTAGAGAACTGGGTAGTAAACCATCAGCTACTTTATCCTGACTCTTAACTGACTCTAAATTTAAATATACTCAGTTTTTCTAATAATCATAGCTAATACTGTTCTATCTTTTCAAAATGTTTAATTTTCTTTACACTTCGATCTGGAAGAGAACAAAACAAAACACCTGATTAATGTTGACACACCTGGGGCTGGAGATTTAGCTCAGCGGCATAAGCGCCTGCCTTGCAAGCAGGCAGTCATGAGTTCAATCCCCGGTACCAATAAAAAGGAAAAAGACACACACAAAAAAATGTTGACACACCTGAGGTCATGAGTTTGACTCCCAGTGCCAAAAAACAAAACCACAAAGATTCATATATATATTGTGCCACACCTTGGTTTATTTTTGTTTTTTTTTGAGACAGGGTCTTGTTACATAATTCAGGCTGGCCTTGAACTCACTGTGTAGCCCAAAATGCCCTCAAATTCAAGCAGTCCTCCTGCCTCAGCTACCTGAGTGCTAGGATTACAGGTGTCCCCCACCACACCCAACTGAGGCAGCCTGGAACAGGGTTGAAAAATTAATTGGAAATCCAGTTAGGCACAGTTCAGCACTTTATGTCATACCTCAAGAGTGATGTGATTGGGGGCTGGGGATTTAGCTCAGCGGCATAAGTGCCTGCCTTGCAAGCAGGCAGTTGTGAGTTCAATCCCTGGTATCGATAAAAAGGAAAAAGACCTCCCCCCCAAAAAAAGAGTGATGTGATTTATACAATTTGTTAATCCCTCACTTATCTCTTAGTTTAGTGCAAGTGGTTGAATTTAAATTTCATATAACCTAATTTAAAGGACTGAGGATATAGTTTAGCAGTAGAGTGCTTGCCTAGCATGCCTGAGGCTGTGGGGTCAATCCTAATCCTGGAAAAAAAATTCATCTAAAGAAAGTGCTGTAAAAATTTAGAGGATGATACCAGTAACTGGTGGAGGTAAGGAAATAAGTAAAAGTCAAAGAAGGCTTCACAGAGGTGGTATTATCAAAAGGTTGATTACTCTCACCTAGCATGGCACATGCCTATAACCCTCACTACTCAGGAAATTGAGTTTGGAGGATGGTGAGTTTGAAGCCAGCCTGAACAACTTAGTGAGACCCAGTCTCCATGATAATAAAAAGGGATGGGCGGTAACTCAAGTGGTACACACTTGCTCAGTATGTTATTACCCCAGGGCCTGCGGATAATAATGAGCACTGTGCAGCACAAATAGTGCAGGATGGTAGCTGGGCAAAATGGATTAGGTACTAGCTCAGTGACAGAGCACTTGCCTAGCATTTGAGGTCCTTGGTTCAAACCCTAATATAGGGTATATGTCAACCAGATTGGAATTATAGATGAGCAGTGGATTATTTGTTTATATATCTCATGTGATATGTAGGACATACTACTGGTTTGAGTCACCAGTGGTATATGCATGACGGTGGTCACTTTTCATCATCATCATCATCATCATCATCATTATTATTATTATTAAACCAGACATTGAACTCACGACTTCGTGCTTGTCAAGCAGGCACTCATTCTTTATTATTTTTTGAGACAGGTTCTCACCACATAGATTAGACCAGTCTTGAACTCACTATGTAGCCTAGGCTATCTCTGAAGTCAAGTGCTCTTTCTGCGTCAGCCTCTTAAGAGCTGGGATTAAAATCATGTGCCACCACTCCTGGCTGATCTAATCACTGTTTATTGGCCTTTTTACTAATAAAATTTAAAAAAAATTTTTTGTACCAGGGATTAAACTCAGGACCTCAAGCTTGTGCCAGGTAGGCGCTTATGCCGTTGAGCTCAATCCTTGGCACATAAAATTAATTTTAAAAAGTATAAATGGTGGGGGCTGGGGATTTAGCTCAGCGGCATAAGCACCTGTCTTTTTTTTTTTTTTTTTTCTTTTCTTTTCTCCATTCTATTCCTTGGGAATAAGCACCTGCCTTGCAAGCAGGCGGTTGTGAGTTCGATCCCCAGTACCGATTAAAAAAAAAAAGTATAAATGGATTCTACCAAGAAAGCAACAACAAAGGAATAATAAAATAAAAATATATCACTGAGCTTAATAATAATGTAGCCGTGAAATAACAGTGACTTTTTCCTGGTCTTGATGGTGCATGCCTATAACCCCAGCACTCAAGAAGCTGAGACTAGCGGATCATTGCAGGTTTGAGGCCAGCCTGAGTCACAGAGCAAGATCTTGTCTATAAAGAAAAAAAAACAACACGAAACAATGACTTTTTGTTTTAGTGTTTTGCATTAACAAAAAAACATATACAGATTAACCATGTAACATCAGACTATTGAAGCAATTTCAAATCAGTGCCTCCTGGAATCAAGACATGAATCACAGTCTCATTGTAAATGTGTTAATGCTAGACAGTAATTCATTGTTTAGCTGAAAGCCCAGTTTAGCAGGTGTCCTGTGTTTCATTTTACAGTCCTAAGCACTCCTTATGTCTCTGTTCCTGACTCTTCAGGCTCAGCTTCCTCCCTTCATGAATATTCCTCTTCTTCCTATTTCCTACTTAAGAGGCAGGAAGAATACGTTCTCCTCAGGAGAGGAGTATTGGCTTAGTAGTTTGCAGAATGGGTGCCTCAGCTCAGTGACTGAGCTCAGTACTTCAATGCAGCATGAGGGCATGGCTTTTCTCTTTAACTATAGCCAGGAAGAAAGACCTGTTGTTCAAATGCCAAAAGAACCAGAAGAATATCAGGTCATAGGGAGCCTCCTAAATTTCTAATGTGCCTGGGGTCCAGAGCTGATACATTCCTAATAGCCCTGAAATTTGCCTCATGTACTCTGCATCTCTTTTTTTTCCAGTTCTCCACTCACATCTCACAGAGGCTTAGGAGTAGACAGTCTTTGTTTCTGAGCCTGTATATTTCCTTTGTGTAAAACACCCTTCCCCAAACTCTTCATTCATTGGCACATGGGGCTGGGGATTTAGCTCAGAGGCATAAGCGCCTGCCTTGCAAGCAGGTAGTCGTGAGTTTGATCCCCGGTACTGATTAAAAAAAAAAAAAAGAATCCTTTTGGGTTTCTAAGGTATTCTGAGCAAACCTCTTGGTAACCCCTTCCACCTGTGGTTAACTCTGTTCTTTGTGTGTGTCTTTCATGAAAATATGAGCTTTGGGGCTGGGTATTTAGCTCAGCAGCATAAGTACCTGCCTTGCAAGCAAGCAGTCGTGAGTTCGATCCCCGGTACTGATTTTAAAAAAAAAAGAAAGAAAATATGAGCTTCACTGGGAATTTAGCTCAGCAGCATAAGCACCTGCCTTGCAAGCAGGCAGTGAGTTTGATCCCCAGTACCGATTAAAAAAAAAAATACAAGCTTTCTAAAGACAACAACCTACTCCTTCTGAGGGTCACCATTGCTTAGGACTGCTTAGGACTGGAGCCTTCACTTCCCTTTAATGCTTCATCTGTGCTCCCTAGGGTGCATGGTGTACTATACCACCACCACCACCACCCCCGTCCCTCTCCACACACTCAGACACTCCACTGCATTTTAGGACTGGAAAGATTTTTTTAGTACTTTGCATTAGTAGTAGAGAAGGGCTGTTGGATCTGTCCTAGCCTTTGGCCTGCCTCCCTACCCTTCTTTACAGCTAAAGTAATAAGACTGAAGGGAGGTGGGCAGGAGTCTTTTTTCCTGTGCCCTTCAGATCAGATTGCCTCTGTTACACACCCTTCTAGACACAACTTCTGAGCCTTCTGCAACCATTTGTTGCCTGCAGTGTTAGCCTTAGAAAAATAAATAAAAATAACTGTTGATTACCCATCCCCCTGGCAGGTCCCTTCTGTCTATGAGTTCCACCCTGGACACAGAAAGGTAGTGTGTTCTGTCAGGGAGTATGTGGACCTGGACCTCTCTGGTTTAGTATGTGGAAGAGGATGTTAGAGGGTGCATTGGCTATTACATGCAGGAAAAGGAGAGAGGCCTGGACACTGTACACCACAGCTGCTGCAAGTCCTTTTGTGAGACTGCTAGGGACAGCTTACACCAGTGATGGCTAACCTTTTCAGTGCTTTCAGTGATACAAACGACCCCCATGGCACATGTACTAGGTCACTTGGCTAAGCTTGGAAATGGGTCTCTGTGAACTCATTCCTAAACCCCTGCCCAGGTAGTACTAGCAGATGTCTCTGGGACAGAGAGTCAATTGTACACCAGACAAATACCTAATGCAATGGCTTTCAGCCCCAAAGCACTGGCCCCCTTAAGTGCTTGTCTGTAGATTTCTCTCTTTAGCACTCAGTGCCATCCCTGCTCATGGGGACAAGGGAAGCCTTTAGGGACTTGCAGACTTTAAGAGAGGCTACTCTTGTGTAGTCTGCACTGCACTTTTGCTCACGGACCCCATGACCTCTACTCCCCTATCTACGACATGAGGTGGGCTGGGTGCTGAACTGGGGCAGGGGCCTGGAGGCTGCTGCTGATAGCTGCAACGAAGGAATGGCACTCTGTTTCTGCTCTCTGATGCCTCCTCCCCACCCTCTGTCCTGTCCTCTCCTTCCAGGGAGCTCCAGGGCACAGTAGATACTTTTTTTTCCTGTGATGAGTAGTTTGGCCTGGCAACCCTTATAGTCTCCACAGCTGACTATGTCAGACAGCTGACTGCACAGGGCCCTTGGACTCATGGCTCCTGCCTTTCAGGCTGGCTTGGGACCTAGATAGTAGTCTGAATGCCAACCTTAGCCCTGGCCTTTCCTAGTGTCATAGTGAATCTGGCACGTTAGACCATGGCCCTCAGGAGATTCAGTGGCTAACTTCATGCTGGGAAGCAAGGAACTTCACTCTCCATTCCTGGCCTTCCCACATGGACTGTCTTTGCAGGTACCTGAAGGAGTTCCGCACAGAACAGTGCCCACTTTTTGTACAACACAAATGCACACAGCATCGGCCCTATACCTGCTTCCACTGGCACTTTGTGAACCAGCGTCGCCGCCGGTCCATCCGTCGTCGGGACGGCACCTTCAACTACAGTCCTGACGTCTACTGCACCAAGTACGACGAGGCTACAGGCCTCTGCCCGGAGGGAGACGAGTGAGTGTCCATCCTGCTCCCTGGGGTCCCAGTCTCCTGGGTCAGGCAGGCTCCAGGGAGCTAGCCAGAGGGTACTTTGGGAGGGGACTAGCTGCAGCCCCACTCACCTTTCTATTGGCACAAACCTCACCATCTTGAATATGCAGTCTTATGAGTATGGTGGAGTCCATTTTCCTTTCTGTACTTTAAGGAAACTCAAAACAAGCCTTAGTTCTAAGAGACCAAATATAAACCAAGATGTCTCCTTAGGGCTTCTTTCATCCTCCCTGAAAGGAGGTGAGCAGCAGGTGAGAAAGCAAAGCTTAATCTGTGTTTACCACCTGTCTCCATCACTCATGTTACCACCTGCCCTCTGCCTCTGGGCAGACCAGCAGTGGCATTAGGTTCTCATGGATACGTGAACCTGTTGAACTGCCCATGCAGGGGACCCAGGTTGGGTGCCCCTTATGAGAGCTCAGTGTCTTATGACCCGAGATGGAGCTGCATGGTAATGCTAACTCTAAGGAATGTAATTATTGTGTATCTCAAACATACACTAATAAAAGAAACTTATAGCACACAGCTGTCTGTGGAAAAATTGTCTTCCACAAAACTGATCCCTGGTGCCAAAAAAGATTGGGGACCTTTAATTTAAAAAGACTGAGCCTCTGGGGCTGGGGATTTAGCTCAGCGGCATAAGCGCCTGCCTTGCAAGCCTGTGGTCGTGAGTTCGATCCCTAGTACCAGTAAAAATCAAAAAAAAAAAAAAAAAAAAGACTGAGCCTCACCACATCCCTCATTTGCTGATTCTGTTTTTCTGCAAATCTCTAGAGAAAATGGGCAACAGTAGTGGCAAACCTGGCAACATCTTGAAGAGGAAACATTCACTAGCCCTGCTTGTCATTTGTTTCAACCTTATAGGGGGTGATGGAGGCACTATGGAGGTGTAGCATGCCAAACCACCCTTGCACCAGCTCCTCCTCAGAGAGCACGTCTTGCTAACCCTTCCCCCAGCCTGTTGAAGCACTCAGCGCATGAGGGGCTGTGTTGAAGTTTGGTGGGGGTTGATTGCTTCTTTGAAGACCCCATTCTGAGCAGAATTGTCCCTTTAGATGCTTCTCTGGAGCCACCCTGCAGACAGTACAGGAATGCCAGGGCCAGAGGCTATGGTGCCCAGAGGGGTTGTCACTGCTTTCCTAGATTACTGAATTCTTGTTGACAGCCTGAAGTCATGGCGACAGCCCGTCAGCAGTGGTGAAGGGCAGGGTTGAGGGAAACATCCCAGACTGCATGGTCACAATTAAGTGAGCTCCACTGCCATGTTGCAGGTGCCCATTTCTGCACAGGACCACAGGGGACACCGAGCGCAGGTATCACCTTCGATACTATAAAACTGGAATCTGCATCCACGAGACCGACTCAAAAGGCAACTGTACCAAAAACGGCCTGCACTGCGCTTTTGCTCACGGACCCCATGACCTCCGCTCCCCTGTCTACGACATCAGGTGGGCTGGTTGCTGGACTGGGGCAGGGGCCTGGAGGCTGCTGCTGATAGCTGCAACAAAGGAGTGGCACTCTGTTTCTGCTCTCTCATGCCTCCTCCCCACCCTCTGTCCTGTCCTCTCCTTCCAGGGAGCTCCAGGCCATGGAAGCCTTACAGAATGGCCAGACCACAGTAGAGGGCAGCATAGAGGGCCAGTCGGCTGGGGCTGCGAGCCACGCCATGATAGAAAAAATCCTCAGTGAGGAGCCTCGATGGCAAGGTACAAGTGGCCACAAAAATGGCCATGCTGTCTCCAGTCAGATGTCTCCCCTCTCCCTTCTCCCCTCTCCTGCCCGTAGCTGCCCTAAGGAATTGGCTCACAATGGCCTACTGCTTTCTCCAACTGAAGGCACCATCTGGGAAACACCCAGCCCTCATCTCACTTCATGCCATCATTCAAAAGACACTTGTAGAGAAGATTTCCCAGATACACTGTGATCCCAAAATCCCCCCAGGCTTTCACATGTGTACATTTGTACACTTATGAGTATACATGCATGTGTTTTCCACTGGTGCCCTTCTAGCCCTGGGAACTGTATCGCCAGTGAGGGGTAACATCCTGCCTTGGGCTCTCAGCTGTGGCTTTGGCCTCCTTAGCATGTCCATTACCTGTAAGGAGATGGCCCTGCTTATGGCTTTCATGAGACCCTCCACTCCAGGACCCCTTCCCAGTGGCTTCTCCTTGCCTTCCTGTCACTCTGCTCCTGCTGTTTTTGGGATGCTCCACCTCCACTCCCTGACCCTGCCCTCTGGACTCCTGTGCAGAAACCGCTTATGTGCTGGGGAACTATAAGACGGAGCCGTGCAAGAAGCCCCCACGGCTGTGCCGCCAGGGCTATGCCTGTCCCTACTACCACAACAGCAAGGACCGGCGGCGGAGCCCCCGGAAGCACAAATACAGGTCCTTTGGCACTAGGAGGCCAGTCATGGGAGGGAGGAATGGCAGGGACGAGATCATGCCTGAGGATCCTCCCACCATGGCTTTCAGGGGGACGGGGAGTCCAGCCCTGGGGATTGTGGGATCACAGGGCCCAGGTATAAGGGGAGGGACCAGTCAGGATGGCTGCATGGTGGGAACATGGCCCAGCTCCTGCATGATGAGGACTCTAACCAGACAGACTCAGTGGTCAGTTCAGTTCTGATCCTATAGGATATGCGCTAGAACAGAGCCAGGCTGTGCTGTGGAAAGTATAGCTGTGTCTGTGCCTAACTCTCCATGGGCTGGTGTGGGTTAGTTGCTTGGCTAAGGGGAGCAAAACAGTGTCTTCCATGGTGATGTAGCCAGAGAAACAGCTCTGGCCCAGTGAGGTCCCCAAGCTGCAGCTAGTCTTTTTATTTTGGTCCCTTCCCCTATGAGGCTGGGAAACCAGAGAAGGGCCCTGAGCAGGGATCCAGGTAATACCCTGTAGGCCCTGATGTCATCCTCTTGCCTCCAGCTGACAATCCCCTCCCCTCTTTTGGCCAGGTCGTCTCCATGTCCAAACGTCAAACATGGGGATGAGTGGGGAGACCCTGGCAAGTGTGAGAATGGAGATGCCTGCCAATATTGCCACACACGCACGGAGCAGCAGTTCCATCCAGAGGTGGGCACTTAGATAAGGGGCTTAGACTGTGGGATTGTTTAACATATCCTCTTTGGGAAGCAAGAAGAGAGACAAGGAGGGTAAGAGCAAATGTTGGCACCATCCTGGAAGAGAGGTTGATGGAGCATGCCTAGAGGTATCCTGTGCCCCTCAGAGTACAACCTCTCATTCTGAATCCATCTTCCCTCACAACGCTTTGCTTCTAGTTAGTTCCCTAAGCCACCTGGCAAGGGGGGTATATGTTGGGCGTAGTGGTCTGGCCAGTTTGGATTTTGCATTGCTACTCATGGTGCTTAAAATCCAGAAACACTAGGATTTTTGTGTGTGTATGTGGTACAGGAGATCAAACCCAGGGCCTCCAGTCATGGTAGGTAAGTGCTATGGCACTGAACTATACCCCCAACCCCACCCCAATACCAAATTTTTAAAAATAAAGCCCTCCCAGCTATCCTGTCCTAGGACAGAGCCTTTGTCTTATACAGTATGCAAAGGGCATAGATGCTTCTGTCTCTGATTGCATGGAAGCCAGGACTCCTGAAATAGATGAACAGAGACAGTCCCATGTGAATGCAGACACCAGGGCAGAAAGTTCAGTCCACGCCAGTTCAGATTGAGGGCAACCATGTACTACCTGACTGGCTGAATGCCCAAAGGGTACACTGGAGGCAGAGCCCCCATCAAGACTGCGAGCAGAACAGACCTCTTGATGAGGGCTGGTTGGATCTGTGACCCAAAAATGGAAGGTGTTGGTAGGGGTGGCAGTGGTAAAGGGCTTCCTCAGGAGTTTGAAATAAGTAGTTTGAGGGCCAGGGACATAGCTCAGTGGCAAAGTATCTGCCTTGCAAGCACAAGGTCCTGAGTTTGATTCCTGGAACTGAAAAAAAAACAAAACAAAAAAACAACACCCCACCAAAAAAAGAAGTAGTTTGAGTAAGTCACTGGGGGCGGGGGGGGATAGCTCAGTAGCAGAGCACATGTCTACCACAAATATGGCCCTTGGTTTGATCCCAGCACTGTAAAAAAAAGATTGGAGGTTGGTAGAGACTTAGGGGAGTGCAGTGGAAAGTATGGACAGGTGAGAAAGGCCTGGCTCACCCTTGATAAAGAAAAAGTAGCCTGCACTTTCACAATGAGCCTGACCAGCTCCACTCTGCTCTGCCCCTTCCAGATCTACAAATCCACCAAGTGCAACGACATGCAGCAGTCAGGCAGCTGTCCCCGAGGACCTTTCTGCGCCTTTGCCCACGTAGAACGTAAGCTGTTCCCATTGGCCTGGGCAGTGTGCTCTTCTCTCCCCTAACCTCTGCCAAGGCATAACCTGGGGAATGGCCAGTGGTTAGTCTGAAGCTGGTAGATTTTACTACTGAACTCGATGCCCTGGTGTTTCCAAGGTCAGGAGGTAGAGACTTCAGGGTCTCCCTTCTTGGTTAGGAACTCATAGGAAAGACAAGGTAAGGTACCATGCCTTCCATAGCCAACATGCCAGATCCCACCAGCCACCTCATGGCACCAGTAGCAGACATCACTCATGCAACATGGAGCTCCTCCCTACTGCACTCTGCTCAGGCCTCTGGAGTGGAGCTTTCCAATGTAAACAAAGTGTGGGAGCTGGTCTGGTCTCCTTCATCAGCATATGTTCCCTCTAGTTGCTCAAAAGGGAGTCCTTTACTGTTTTTTCTTATTTTCCTTTCTTAAGGACCTGCCTGACATTTGTCAATTCTCTAAGTTATAGCCTCTTACCATTTTTCCTTACTTTCTAATTAAGGCTTTTTCATAAATAGATGAAAAATAAATAAAATGCAGTCTCTATCACTTTAAAGTTTCTAGTAACATACTAAAAAAAAGGCTAGGCGTGGTGGCACAAACCTATAATCCCAGCACTCTGGAGGCTGAAACAAGAGCTGGAACTGCATAGCAGGACCCTGCCTCAAAAACAAACAAGAGGGGCAGGGGATTTAGCTAAGCAGCATAAGCACCTGTCTGGCAAGCATGAGGTCATGAGTTCGAATCCCAGTGTTTAAAAACAAAGAACAAACCTGCCAGACACGAATGACACAATGAGATCCTATCTAAAAAAAAAAAAAAAAAAAAAAAAAAAAATCCCAGGGGCTGGGGATTTAGCTCAGCGGCATAAGCACCTGCCTTGCAAGCAGGTGGTCGAGAGTTCGATCCCCGGTACCGATAAAAATGAAAAAGACAGAAAAAAAAAAAAAAAAAAAAGCCAGACCAAGTCAATAACATTAACCTATTTTTTATGTTTTTAGTTTCATATATATAAATTGTTATTCATATTTTTACATACAAAAATTATCAAGATATTTTACCTGTTTGTTTGCTTAAGACATGGTCTCCCTGTGTATTGTAGGCATGCCTTGAACAAAGATAAGACTAAATCTGGAAACACTACCCCTGGCTGAGATATTTTACCTTTCTTTTTTTTTTTTTTTTTTTAACTATCAGTACCAGGGATCGAACTCATGGCTGCACGCTTGCAAGACAGGCACTTATGCTGCTAAGCTAAATCACCAGCCCCTATATTTTACCTTTCTTTATACTAAGTCTCAGAGATCTGATATATATGTCAATACCCACAGCATCCTTCCATTCAGACCAGCCCATTTCAAGTGTTTGGGAGCCACTTGCACAGCACAGGACTCCATATTTCAGTGTCATACTCCAAACCCAGCCCTTCAGTCTTACAGGAAACTGGGGTGGACATCTGTTCCCACTGTAGGCCGCTGCTCTGGCTGCCTTAACCTGTTTCCAGACTTAGTCTTATCTTTGAGATTAAATAAGCCAAAGGCCTCTAAATAAATAAATAAACAAACAAAAACTAACCCAAAGCCCTTGGAACAGGAAGTATACCCAGGGTACAGAGATAGCCCTGCAGGAGGCACTGGGACCATCTGGCTGAGACAGCACAGAGCAGTGATTAAAGTAGCTCAGGCTGTGGAGTTGGATAGAACCAGCTCCAAGTTCCGTCCTGTCTGTCAGTTCTGTCACCTTGGTAGGTTTTTTATTTTTATTTTTTTTATTTTTGGATTTTTGTTTTTTTGAGGTTGAGGCTCTCTGTATAGTTCAGTGTGGCCTCAAACTCATGGTGATCCTCCTGCCTCAGTCTCTTGAGTGCTGGGGTTACAGGTGTATGCCATCATGCCCAGCTAACCTTAGAAGATTTAACTGACTTTTCTGAACCTTGTTCTTGTTTTTCTGTGTAGTTCAGGCTGGCCTTGAACTCACTATGTAGCTCTGGCTGGCCTTGAACCTGCAGTAATCCTCTTGCCTCAGCCTCCCAAGTGCTGGATTTATAGGCCTGTGCATCCCTCCTGACTCAGCCTTTGTTTTTCTTCTCTGTACAATGGAAGCCATAGCACTCTAAAAGACTGAGGCAGGAGCATTGGAAGTTTGAGCCCAGTCTATGCAATTAGCAACTTCATGGAATCAATCTCAAAAAATTTTAATGGCTGGGAATGTAGCTTAGAAGGCCTTGGATTCAATGCCCAATACCACAAAAAAAAAAAAAAGATAAGAATAAAGTCCATGATGTGTGTTTTTTCATCCCCGTTGAGATTCACAGTTAATGCAAAGTACTGGCACATAGTAAGTACATAGCATGCAGTGTCAATTGAAATAATGTGGGAACCTTCTTGTTAAGTTCTGGGGGTACATGGTCTCCTTTGAAAGATAGCCAGGAACATTTTTAGAGGCACTAAGCTGGCTGACCCTGCACCCCTCTTGCAGAGCCACCCCTAAGTGACGACCTGCAGTCTTCCTCAACTGTATCGAGCCCCACCCAGCCAGGTCCCGTCTTGTACATGCCATCTGCTGCCGGAGACTCGGTGCCTGTGAGCCCCTCCAGCCCGCATGCCCCTGACCTCAGTGCTGTACGTGCCTGTCCTGGGGAGTGGGTGTACCCCAGACCCCTCAGCCTGTGTTTGGGGAGAAGCCCTGGTGTTTGTCCTTAAGCTAAAGGGTTTTGCCTTTCCTGCCCCAGGGATATCCTGTGTCATATTTGGGGCAGAGTTGTCTCTTCAGGTCCCATGTTGATCATCCTGGGACAGACCCTTCTCTTTTACCTCCCTGCCAAACCCGAAGAAGGCTCAGGGTCCTTGCTGTTCCCCAGTGATATTTGAAAATGGAATCAGGCTCCTTTTTGAAAACTCCTTTTGAGGCAGGGATGGAGAGTGGGCCAGGCCCCAGCTTGTGTCATGCTCACCAGGTCCCATTCTTTCCTGCAGCTCCTCTGCAGGAGCAGCAGCCTGGGCAGCCCATCCAACCTCTGTGGCTCCCCACCAGGCCCCAGCAGGAAGCCTACAAACCTGGAGGGCCTGGTCTTCCCTGGGGAATCCAGCCTTGCCCCTGGCAGCTATAAGAAGGCCCCTGGCTTCGAGAGGGAAGATCAGGTGGGAGCTGAGTACCTGAAAAATTTCAAATGCCAGGTAAGGGATGAGCAGCGCTTCAGAGACTACCTAAGCCCAGTGAGCTGCCCCTTCTGCATGAGGTGAGAGGAGCTTAGAGGAAAGGCCTGGTCCTGCTGTGAAAGGTCCTCCTGGGAGCCGGGACTCCTTGTCCTTGGCCTCTGTAGGACTGAGCAGTGAGTAATGTTGTCCTGTTTCCTGGCTGAGGACAGGAAGGCTCAAGAGACTGCACAGCTTCCCAAAGGCCACAGAGCCAGTCAGTAGCAGACCAGTATTCCCATCAGAATGCAGTTCTTTGTCTTCCCTCTGTTGCCTTGATGGAATGACAAGGTCTAGGTGAGCAGGACAGAGGCCCCTGATTGGGCATGGAGAGAAATCTGGGCTTATCTGAGGCATAGGGTTATCTGGAAGAGAGGAGCAGCTCCCTGCTTAGAGTAGGGGGAAGGAGTGGCGGGTGGGGGTTGCATGACAGTTGACAGTGTCTGTCACCATCTGCTTCCTGGTCCCTCAGCCAGGGTGGTCTGTGGCAGAGCCAGGTGGATTCCTGCATTAGGAGTTACCTAGCACTACACTCACCTCCTTCCTAACTTCTCTCTCTCAGACCAAACTAAAGCCCCACTCACTGGAGCCCAGGAGTCAAGAGCAGCCTCTGCTTCAGCCTAAACAGGTACAGAGCTCTTGGTTTCTTGCTTCCATCCTGGCATCTGTCATGCAGGACAGGCCCGGAACCTCAGCAGGCTGTAGGGAGCTGGGGGTTGACTAAGTTGACTAGATCCAAAGGGTGGGGATTAGGCCTGGGAGCTCACATGTCAGTCAGAGGTGTTTGGACAGCATCACACTGCCAGGGACCACCACACCACTCCCTTTCCCCACTGCACTGGTAGGGGCAAGTGGCTTTCTGGGTCTCAGCATAGGGCTGGAGTGGCCCATGGCCTAATCCCCATCTCTGGTCTTCATCAGCCTGTCCCCTAGCTTCTAGCCATGACTCCTCAGGCAGGCCACCCATTGCCTCTCCTAACTTTCATTGCAGGACGTGCTGGGAATCCTCCCTGTGGGAAGCCCCCTGACCTCAAGCATCTCTTCCAGTATTACCTCCAGCCTGGCAGCTACTCCCCCCAGCCCTGCAGGCACCAGCAGCACCCCCGGCATGAACGCAAATGCTCTTCCCTTCTATCCCACCAGCGACACGGTAGAGTCGGTCATAGGTAATCAGGGTAGGCATGTGTGAACCTGGGATCGGGCCTGGAGGCAGGGACACCAGGCCTGTGACATAGATGCCGATCAGTGTACCACTTTAGAGTAGGCACTGTGGGCTCTTTGAGCTAAAGGAGAATAGATGGATTGCAAACCTGTAATCTCTCAGCTGCTCAGGAGGCTGAGGCATGAAAATTGCAAGTCTGAGCCCAGTCTGGGCAATTTAGCGAGATCCTGTCTCTGACATCTGTTTTGTTTTGGATTTTTTGAGACAAGGTCTCCCTGTGTAGTTCAGGGTAGCTGTGAATTCATTATGTACCCTAGGCTGGCCTTGAACTCATGGCAATCCTGCCTCAACCTCCCAGTTCTGGAATTACATGTGCCACCACACCTGGTGGGGTTTTTTTTGTCTTTTTCATTTTTATTGGTACCGGGGATCGAACTGCTTGCAAGGCAGGTGCTTTTGCCGCTGAGCTAAATCCCCAGCCCTTGCTGTTTTGTTTTTTTGAGACAAAGTCTTACTGTGTAGTCTGGGCAGGTTTTGAACTCAGGATCCTCCTGCTTTCAGTCTCCTAGAGTGTTAGAATTATAGGAGTGTGCTACCATACCTCACTACAAGACCTCTCCAAAAAAGGGGTGAGGAAAGGATGTAGCTTACTGTAAAGTCCAAGGTACAACCCTATGAGTGAAGAAAATGAACAAACAGTAAAACAACCAGATGGGCATGGTGGCATGTGTCTATAATCCTTGCACTTTGGGAAGCTGAGGCAAGAGGACTACAAATGGAAGCTCAGCCTTGGTAATTTGGTAACTTAGTGAGACCCAATCTCAAAACAGAAGAACAGAAAGAGGGGATTTGAGGATGTACCCCAGTGCAAGGGGCCAGGGTTCAATCCCCAATACCACTAAAAAGCTTAAAAAATAAAACCGGGTGTGGTGGCTCACGCTTACAGGCTCAGCACTTAGGAGGCTGAGGCAGGAGGATTGTTGCAAGTTTGAGACTAGCCTGGGCTACAAAGTGAGCTCCAGGCCAGCCTGAATTGCATAGCGAGACCTTGTCTCAAAAAAAAAAAAAAAAGCTTAAAAAATAAGGAAACAAGAAACACAAAGTATAAAGTCAAGACTAGCCCTAGAGGGAAAAAGACTAGCTCTGGGAACTCTTCCATATGATTCCAGTCTTCATAATTACAGTCTCACTCCAAGATTTGGAGTCCTACCCCATTCATTCTGTTACTAGGTGTCCTTGTGCAGTGAGCATCCTACACAACTGTCCTCAGAGTGCTCTGTACTAGGAATCGGGGTCCCAGGGCTCTCAGGGACAGAGTACATGCTTAGCATATGGGAGGCCCTGGGTTCAATTCCCAGCATCACAGTGTCAGTGCCCATTTCTTTTAGGACTCATTTATGACTTCCTACTTCATGCCTAATGCTAAGGCAGGCCCTCTAAGGAGACAGATTGTGATGTGGGATTGGGATCTGTTCCTGCTCCTGGCCCCCTACCCCGGTCAGTTCAGGGGGGCATCGCATTTGTCAAGGATCCAGTATGCACTGACCACAGAGGCCGGAGTGACCTGCCCACTCCCAGCAAACTCAGGGTGAGATAGCCTACAACACCTCCGTCAGGCAAACGGATTGAAACCTGATTCTATCTGGGGTATCCGAGGCAGCCTCAGGAAGGAGAGATACTTGGCTTGAACTAGGCAGACAGCTTACAGGATCAGTGCGGCAGAGGGAGCACCCAAGCAGAGGTGCAGTGGGGCAGAAGATGAGAGTCATGGGAGCCCTGGAGCCCAGAGCTGTGGCTAGGGGAAGCCCACATCTGTATCTCTCTGTGCCTAGAGTCTGCCTTGGATGACCTGGACCTGAATGAGTTCGGGGTGGCTGCCCTGGAGAAAACTTTTGATAACAGCACAGTGCCCCATCCCGGCAGCATCACAATTGGTATTAGGCAGGGGTGGACAGGGTGGCTCGGGGGGTGCTCTCTGTTGCGGGGGGGCTTGCTTGGCCTCACCAGTTCCCTTTGGGACCTCTTGCAGGCGGCAGCTTGCTGCAGAGCTCTGCACCTGTGAACATCCCTGGCTCCTTGGGCAGCTCTGCCTCCTTTCACTCAGCTTCCCCATCTCCTCCTGTCAGCCTCTCTTCACACTTCCTACAGCAGCCTCAGGGCCACCTGAGCCAATCAGAAAACACATTTTTGGGCACCTCAGCATCACATGGATCCTTGGGTAAGAAGGGGAGACTGGGGAGGGAACCTGGGATAGAGGTTAGACTTTGGGCTGGGAGACTCCGCCACCCCTGCCTTTGTGACTCGACCAAGAACTGGGCCTCACTGCCTGTTTCCTATACATGAAGTGGGCGCTGTGGTGGGGTGAAATGAAACACCATAAGGAAGTGCTAGGACAGGTCAGGGCAGAAAGAAGTGGTGGTCTCAAGAGCTGCCCAGGTCTGGAGATTGTCTTCAGTGCAGTTTGAGCCCAGTTGGGGAGAGGGACAGCTCCTTAATAGGCGAGTGATTGCCTAGCATGCACAAGGCTCCATCCCTGACACCCAAAAATAAAGTAAAATCTGGTACAGTCACCCAGGACTCCAAGAGGCTGTGCACACAAACCAGGGTGGGGGAAGTTGGTACAGACCCACTCCAGGCCTGGGGTACTCCTTCTGGCAGGCAAAGCCACCAGATAGATAACCCAAATCGAGCCCAGAAGACTGGTTGCCTAGCCCAGCATTAGAACAGTGGGGGCTGGGATCCCAGTGGTCCCTACATGAGACCTCCAGGCTCTAACACCACAGCCAGGGGCTCATCTTCTCATGGGAGCTGGGGTAGTGTCCTTGAGGTAGTGAAGGTACAAAGCATTTGGCGCAGCCTCTCAGTGAGCAGCAGTTGCCTCTACAGCCGCTATTCAGAGGCTAAAAAGACTGAGGATGCTAGGCCTCCCGATCAGACAGGAACTAAGCTGAAGTTTTGACCAGGTGCCCTGGAGGCCGGAGAGGTGTACCTCACTACTGACTATGTGAGCAGGAGGATAGGCAGCTTTGCTTGTGAAAAAAGCCTTTGGCATCAAGCACCCATGTGGAACCTGCTCCTGTCCCTCATCGTTGTGACTCTTAGCGTATTCAGTGTCCTCATCTTTAGGACATGGTGCGGGGCTGCCCAGAGCTCCCTAGCTCCTCCCACTTCAGCCATCCTATGTGTGAAGGGCTGGCCTATGACTTTGCTTCTGCTTCTTCCAGTCAGGCTTCACAGCTGAACTGTGAAGTCACTGTCACAAATTGCCACCAGCAGGAGCCTTCGGGCTATTCTCCCATGAAGTACTTCTGAGTCCTCCTCTGAGGCCAGAAATGAGAACTTTATTTTACACGTAGGAATAACTTTCAGTGGCAGCTGCTAATTAGCATGTGACAAGTTTATGTCCAGCTCAGCCCAGGGAACATCCAGAATGTCCCTGCAGAATGCTCCAGCCTCATGAGTCCTCAAACATCTGCTCCATGGGCAGCCAGCTCCAGGAAAGCCGCGGGTCCTGAACAGTTGATGTTCCCTACCCCACCTCCACACAGGTCTGAATGGAATGAACAGCAGCATCTGGGAACATTTTGCCTCTGGAAGCTTCTCCCCAGGCACCTCCCCTGCCTTCCTCTCAGGGCCTGGGGCTGCTGAGCTGGCACGGTTACGTCAGGAGCTTGAGGAAGCCAATGGCACCATCAAGCGGTGGGAGGAGTCCTGGAAACAGGCCAAGCAGGTACAGGGCACCACGCCCATGGTATCCCTGGCACCTGGTGGCACCCAGTCCATGCCTATCCTATCCAGAGTGGCATGGGGAGGCAAGTAGGGGCTTAAAGAACAGAGCAGAAGCCTTTGTTTGCCTTCTTCCCTGTGGGAGGACTGGCCTTGCCAGTTGGGATACTGGGGCAGCTGGTGTCACAGGCCTGGAGCTCCCTCCAGAAGATGCTTGTTGTAGCCCTAACTGCAGGTCCACCTTCTCTTGATGTCCCCACTTTCCAGGTTGCAGGTTCTAGGTTCTAAGATGGACTGACTCTGTCTAGCCATCACTCAGCTGCCCCTGGGGGTGCTAGCCAAGATGTAATTAGACCCTTCCTCTTCCTTGTTCACAGAGCGGGGGTCTTCTGTAGGTCCTGAGACCTCTCCACTCTGCAGGCAGCATCAGCCTCTTCCCTGTCCCCTCCCCAGACCGTCGCCAACCCAGCTTCCCAGCAGTTCCACAGCCAGCTTAGCCTACACAGGTTCCTAGAGATGCGCTCTGGGGGGACAGGGGGTCATTGTGATGAGGCACTGTGTGTTGGGCCCACAGGCTTGTGATGCCTGGAAGAAGGAGGCAGAGGAGGCCAGTGAAAGGGCCAGTGCTGCAGGTGCGGAGTGTGAGCTGGCCCGGGAGCAACGGGATGCATTGGAGGTGCGGGTGAAGAAGCTCCAAGAAGAGCTGGAGCGGCTCCACGCAGGGTCTGATTCCCAGGCCCTGCCCACCTTTTCCGACCTGGAGGCACTCTCACTCTCCACCCTCTACTCCCTCCAGAAACAGCTGCGGGCCCACCTGGAGCAAGTGGACAAGGTCAGCCCCGAAGGTCAGGTTGCACTGGGCGTGTTAACCTCACCCAGCACTCAGACCCTGACCAGACCCAACCCAGGCTGCTCTGGGGGCAGCTGTACTCCTGAGAGCTCTGCCTACCACTGGACCAGCATTCACCATGCCAGTCTGCTGGGAGAGGGTGAGGAAGACAGGCCCCTTGGGAGGCAGGAGCCGCAGCACCCACTCCTTGTGCCCTTGACCTAAGCTTATTGATGTGCCTGGGCCCTGTGTAGCTCTGTCTACACGCCTGCACACATTCCAGACTGGCTCAGGTACTGAGGCTTCCCCGTCTGCATTCCAGGTTCCCTGTGGGCCCCCAGGGTAGTATATGACTTGTGGAAGGAGCATTTCTCTCTTTACTAGACAGCCAGGCCCCTTGGCATGTGATAGTCCCTCTCCGTGCCTCACTTTTCTCACCTGGGGACCTAAGGTCACTACAAGATTAAATGAAACAGGTCTTAACAAAGGTACCAGATAAAGCCCTGACAGATGGGAACCTGCAGCCAGCACACTGCCCCACCTGGTGTTACCACCAGGCTATTGCTGGGGAGAACAGGGGTCAGGGGCCTGAACCCCCCAGGCTGGATCCTGACACTGCCCTCTGCTAGCAGGGTCCTGGAGCACACTGTTGATTTCTGTGTGTCAGTTTCTTCCTGGGGAGGTGAAGTGAGAATTGGGAGCTCCATGCTCCCTTGGTGTGCCAAGCTAGCAGCAGAAACCGCACTTGTGACCACTCTATCCCTTTTCCTGCAGGCTGTTTTCCACATGCAGTCGGTGAAATGCCTTAAGTGTCAGGAACAGACTCGGGCAGTGCTGCCGTGCCAACATGCTGTGCTGTGTGAGCTCTGTGCTGAAGGCAGTGAGTGCCCTGTCTGTCAGCCCAGTCGGGCCCATGCCCTCCAGTCGTGACACTACAGGACTGGCCCGCCAGGCCCAGACCTCTCATCTAGGACTTTTAAAAGTATATTTTATATATATATATGTATATACATATATATGTATATTTTATATATATATATGTATATACATATATATGTGTGTATATATATATATATATATACACACACACACACACATATATATATATATAATGTATGTATGTATATGTATATGATTATGTACATGTATACATTTGTGTTCAGGTGTGCGTGGTGGCCAGCGTGTGCACAGTGTCTGTGTGTATATCTGTACATAGATATAGACACACACTTTAAAACAGACTTACCAAGCACTTTTTAAAGAAAAGACTATTTTGCAGTCCTCCCTTGCCCGCTCCCTACTCAGACACAAAGTCCTTCCTTCTCCCACTGGCCTTGGCAGAGAATGTTTCTGTCTCTTTTTTTATGTAGGAACTAACTATTTTTAACTTTTTGATGGGGCCTGAGGGGGGGGTGGTTGGGAAGCTAGAGGTGGCTGAGGGGAGAGAAGCCTTTAGGGCAGGGCCTATGCCCTCTGCCTCTCCAGCCTGGGGCCTGCAGGAAGCTGTGGAAGACCCAGGTGCCCCCCAGCATACCTTCCTCCCAGCAGTGGGGGGCCTCAGGGAGGCCTGAGGCTGTACTGGAGTTCTAAGCCAGCCCAGCTCCTGGGCTTACCAAACCTGGGTTTAGTCTTAATGACAATTGCAGGGGCTGGCGGGCTGAAGCCCACTCCTGCACCTGGACCCTCGGAGTCCCTGGAGGGGCAAGGTCCTGTTGTATCCCTCAGGTTCTTGAGGCCTGGGTCCCCCTCAGTTTTTCCCTCCTGGATTCCCCAGAACAGCCTTCTGGCCCCAGGGATACCTACCAGGCCGACACTGCCCTTCCCTGCCCATCCCCTTTCTGGTGTGGCCACGGTGTCGTCCACCCTTCCCTCTGGCAGCTAGCAGGGCAATTGTTGGGGAGGGGTGTGGCCTGAGGACCAAGGTGGGCACAGGCCCTGCCCTCCTTGGCAGGAGGGCTCCATATGCATTCCTTGGTACTCTCTGGGTGCAGCTGTCGTCCTGCCCGTACTGGGCAGACGCCTGTGTGCATGTGTGTGTGTGCCTGTCTGATGTACATTGTGTCTTAGCTCAATTTTAAAAATTGTTCTATACAGAGAGATGCAGCAGGGATGGGAGGGTGATGCAGGCTGAAGGATGCAACCTCACTCCCTGCACTGGGGCTAGGTGGGCCTGAGAGGGCTTCGAAGGGTCTGCCCTGGCCCATCCCCCTTTTGGGCTCAGCACGAAAGGGCTTTCAGTGAATCAAGTGAAAACTTCTTTTTTACAAAAATGCAAAAATCAATAGAACAAACCTATTGGAAATAAACCATGAACTTGCTTTGGCAGTGCATTTATATAGTAGGTGGGCCCCCAAGGGAGCCTTGCAGACTGGGAGGTGGACAGGCGCCCTGCCTCCACCACAGACTGCTTAACTGCAGTGGCCTGGGCCCAGAAGCAGCTCATGTGCCCTCTGACCTGCACCTGTTGGAGCATTAGCCTTGGACACTAACCTCCTAGGCCCTGTGACTTTTGTTTAGAGGTCTGTCTTCAGCTGTGAGTGGTAAAGCCCTTTCCTTCTTACGGGAACAGACAGGGCCTTCCCATAGGGATGGTTTGCATTAAGGCATAAAGAGACAGGGGCTGGGGGTTTAGCTCAGTGGCATAAGCCCCTGCCTTGCAGGTGTATAGTTGTGAGTTCGATCCCTGGTACCGATAAAAAAGAAAAAAAAAGAGGAGGAGGATGGTATGGAAGTTTCCTGCTTCACCTTGCCCTGCCTTCTACTGGGCTATGTGCTGGAATGAAAGAAACACCCCTAGCAAATGGCCCTGCAGGGCCTCAGCCAGAGCTGTACCCCTCCCCTCTCCAGCTGCTTATGTAGACTGAAGTTAAGTGACTCCACCAGGATTGCAGCCAGAAAGACCAGGTGCTTCCCAGTGTACAGGGTACTCACAGGCAGGGCCATGCCCCTGCTGTCCAGGGCAGGCGCTCAGTCACAGGGCAGCCCTGCCAAAGACCACAGTGACTGATAGCCTGCTGCATATCAGGTGGCCTGCTCAGAGCCCATGGCTGAACACTGTTCATACCCACTCTTCTATCCTGGGCCTCTGGCAAGATATCCCGTACCCACCTCTCTGCTTACAACTTGGGGGGTACCACATGGGGTAAGCTCATGGTCTCTTTCTGGCTATAGAAAAGGCTAAATGACCTGACAAGCCTTCCAGTGCCCACCTTAGGCCAACAGAAGACTTTCAAAGAGGTACATGGATTTTTAAAAACATTTGTGCTAAGAAAATATTTAGGTGGTGCCAGGGATGTAACTTAGCAGCACAAGTATCTGCCTCGCAAGCACAAGTTCAAGTCCAAAAACAAAAAAAAAAAAAAAAAAAAAGAGAGATTTCCAGCTGGCAGGAACTGTCCAAGGAAGGAGGAAGCATTCTCAACAGACACAGCCAGACCACCCTCTCTCCTGTCCTCTGGTAATAGCCACTCTTGTCCCACAGGGCAGCAGGCACCTCATCTTGTTTAAATTTCCCTTTTGCCTCAGGGTACCCCCAGTTCCAGAGCCAGCCACCTGGTCCCCAACCCCAGTGGGAATTGATGACCCAAGACTCCACCCCACCAGAGCAGTTTTCCAGGATGGAGAAAGGGTGGATGTTACACATCCATTGCATGCTGGGATGTGGCAGAGAGCTGAGGCCAGGACTCAAAAGGGAGGGATGAAGAGTATAAATATTGCTGTGCTGCCCTGTGGTCCCACGCTTGGGCAAGAGCTCAGAAGGGGTCTGGACCCTGGGTGTTCCAACTGCTGGGGCTCCCTGCACTGCACAGGGAGGACTCCAGCCTTCCAGGACTCCACTAGGGGCCGGCCCATTGTCCAGCCACCACCATTACTGCCCTGGTCTTGGGGCATGCTGTGAGGCCTGTTTAGCTCGTTGCCGCCGCAGTCTCACAAAGGCTTGGGCCTCACGATCACCCTTCCGACTCTCCAACAGCTGCAGGATTGGGTCTCCTGGGGAGAGAAGGGTTTGAAGATCAGATTTGGGGGAAGAGGCATGCCTGGGAGGGAGGGTACCACACTGGCCCATCTATCCCTGTCTTACCACCATGGAAGGAAAGCTATGGCAGACCAGACAAGCTCACATCTGGACAGATGTGAGGCCAGAAGTGCCTGAAATACTGACTTTAATCTACTAGGAGTTGAACCCAGGGCCTTTGCACAGCCTAAACTGCTAAATTGGTCAGCCTAGCCTGAAACTTGGACTCTTCCTGCCTTATCGTCCCAGAGAGTTGGAATTATAGACATGTACCATTATGCCTGGCCCGTATTTTTTTAAGGTTTTTTACATTTATTAAAGGTAAGAAAAGAAATAGGCCCTGAGGATCAAGTGTAAGCCAAGTAAAAGAAAAATAAGCACGTTGTACAAAAGAGCAAGTTACCATGAGAGCCAATTTTATGCTTTTGGGTTTTGTTTTGAGTCAGTCTTGCTGTGTAGCTCAGGCCAACATCAAACTCAACATTCCTCCTATGTTAGTGGTCTAGTGCTAGCATTCTAAGCATGTGTCACCACACCTGGCTATTTTTTTTGTTCTTTGAGATCTAGTGCATAGTAATCCTAGATACCCTTGGACTTGCGGAGTACCCCAGGCTGGTTTTGAACCAGCAGTCCTCCTGCCTGAGCCTCTAGTGCTGGAATTAGTCATGCTTCTCCCTTTTAAGATGAGACCTGAAGCTAGCTAGCTAACTCTGTGTTGCATAAGGGCCTATAAAATAGCACTGATTAAATAATACCTGCCAAGTGCTGACCTTTTAGGGGCCAGGGATTTAGCTCAGTGGTCTAAGTGCTTGTCTGGCAAGCACAAGGTTATAAGTTTGATCCCAGGCATGCAAAAAAAAAAAATTGTGCCTGCCTAGTTGGTGGACCTAAGAAATTTTAAGTTACTATATAAATGCTTAGAACTGGCTCATATGTACAGAAACTTGCAGCCTATTCCTGTCAGCAGGCCGAGGGAGTGTCTCAGCAATGTTTCTGTCCTCTGCTCCGAGATCTAGGTCCCTCTCTTCAGGTAAGCTCCTTGTGACCTCCCTACCAGGAAAGTCAGATGATTTCACTGAGCTTGCTTTTCACTGGTCACCATCAGAGCAAGAGATTTCCCAGACTACTCAGCAGCAGAGCGATGGCACTGTCCAGGGGCTTCCATTGCCCAAGGAGGCATTCATTGCTCTGGGCCCTGCCTGAACTTCCTGGGGGCCCATCCCTTCCCTGCCTTGGAGTCAGACCTACCGTCAGGCGCGGGGTATGTGAGGGGCAGACGGGTCTGTGGCGCCTCACTGGGCTCCTCGCAGCCACTCAGCCCAGGCACCGTACATAGTGGCAGGAAGGCCTCTCCTTCCAGGTCATTGGCCCCCAGCGTATCGTGGTCCAGCACAGTGAGCAGGAGGCATGCCCCGTCCTTCTGGCATGGCTCTGCAGGCACCAGGCTAGCAGGGACAGAATCGGGCTCAGGCATCTGCTCACCAACATGCAGGTCACCCCCTTGTTGATAGAGCCATCACAAAGCTCCCAATGTGGCACATCTCAGCCTTGTGTCACACCTGCTTCAACGATGGGCTGATGCTTTAAATCAGGGGTCCTATGGGCCCCAGGCCCATCTGTTTTTGGCAACAGAGAGAGGCCCCCAAGGACTTTAAGACAGAACCCTTTCCTGGAAGCTTCTGAATCCAAACATCTGGGAGCCCACTCCTGGCAAGGGAAGCACACTTGCCCCACATAACCCTTCTCCTGGACCCTATGTGGTAGTCTCATAGGTACCTTGATGGGGTTTCAGGGAAGGGAAGCAAGACAAAAGTGAGGACTCACAATTCAAAGGTCTCATCAAAGAGCGGGTGAAGATCCTTCTTATGTTTTTGGGTCTCTCGGGGAGCCAGTTCAGGGAATTCATGCCTGGGCTCCAAGGTCAGCTGAACAAAGGGGTCGCTGGAGCCTGGCAGATAGCCCCGGGAAGGGACCTAGTTCAGTTTACCCAGCCCTTCACCCAAGCTGTGCCCCTCCTGGTAACCAAGGAAGTGCGCACAGCTGCCAGTCCTCCACCCAGGTCCAGGGAGAGTGCACACAGTGGCCAGTGGCAGCCTCCACTCACCGTTGGAGTCCATGGGCAGCAGATTAGAGGCACTGAGCAGCTCCACATAGAGCTTCTGCTCAGAGGAGTGGTAGGAAGCCTTGACCGTGACAGCACCTAGTTGCTCCGAGGTAGTTTCTGCCTGGGTGTGGGGAGCATATACAAGTTCAGCTGGGATACAAAACACAGTCAGGCCATGGTTAATGTGGAAGAGGATGGGGAGCCTCACTTGCTGCTGGATGCGGCTGCAGAAGTACTTCCGGATGAGCTCCTGGCTGGAGGCTGCCTGCAGCTCCAGGTCCCTCTGCAGAGCCTGGAATGGCAGTCAAGCAGACTCCTAAACCTTCACACCTAAGCAGCCAGCCCTGCCATGGCTCACAGCAGAGGCTGAGACACAGCTTTGAAAGGAAAGTGCTAGTGTTGTGGGACTATAGGCCAGGATAGACTCAGCAGTGCCGAGGGCACAGAGCCCTAGTGCTTTGCAGAGTCCAAACTAGGTAATGCTCTGCTGTGGTATCTTAAGGCTGGAGTAATCTTTGAATAAGGGGATGCCTTTTTTGTTTGCTTTCTTGTTTGTCTTTTGAGAGGGTATAGACATGTAGGTCAGGTTGCCCTTGAAATTACTATGTAGCCCAGGTTGGCCCCAAACTCAAGGGAATCCTATCTCACCTTCCTGAGTGCTAGGATTACAAGGATGAGCCACCACACCTGGCAGAGGAGCCACTTTTTCATTTTATACTGGGCCCTACAAATTATGTGGCTGGCCTAGGACCAGGTGAATGCCAAAGGCCAGCCTCCTGGCCTTCCACTAGGGAGTGCATCAAGACCCCTACCTGGAAGGTGGCCGTGTGCAGGGCCTCGAAGGGTAGGCCACAGCCCTCAGCATGGAAGCAGATCTCCAGATTCTGGGAAGACATCAGAGGTGAGCCCAGGGAGCCTCCCCAGGGTGGCTGTCCCTATGCTTGGCATTACTTACCTCCAGGGCCACCTTCAGCCTGCCAGAGGCCAGGGTCGAGCTGCGCTGGGAGGCAGTCACTTCCACCAGCACTGTGAGTGTGTGGGTCCAAAGCAGGGTCAGAAGGCTGGTCGCGGGCAAAGGGGTATCAGACATAGGATGAGGCAGTGGAGAAGGAGGAAGCAAAGACACAGAAATGAGGCCTTGGGAACCCAGGCCCAGCACTGACCTACCCACACCCCCACCTGCTCCATAGTGGCCAGGGCAGGTAGATGGCAAAGGGAGGGAAGGCTGGTCTCCTGAGGGAAAAGGGAGCAGGGGCAGAGGGCAAAGCCTTCTCTAGCATGTCTGTCTCAGTGAAGGAGCTCCTTAAGAGGACCAGGGACCAACAAAACACAAAAGGTGACACAGGTGAGAACACGGGCCAGAATCACCATCAAAGGGAGAATATCAAAATGTATAGCATCAAAACCAACTACATGGATAAGCATCTGATACCTTATTTATAGGGACAATAAAACAGTTTTGACAATGGTCTGAGATTTAACATATGTCGAGTACAGTCTGGTAGTTGGCACAAAAAAAGGCGGGGAGGGGGTTGTCCCTGCCCAGGACTGCGGCATGTTCCAACCTGGGCAGTGTGAAATGAGCAGGCTCAGGAGGTAGCAAGCTCCTGCCTCTGGAAGCACGCCTTTTTTTTTTTTTTTTTTTTTTTTTTTGTCTTTTTGAGACAGGGTCTCACTATGCGGTTCAGGCTGGCCTTGAGCTCTCTTTGTAGCCCAGGCTGGTCTCGAACTTGCAAAAATCCTCTTGCCTCAGCTTCCTGAGTGCTAGGATTACAGGTGTGCACCACACACGCAGGCTGGAAGTAAGCATTTAAACACAAACTGGTTGTACTCTCTAAGGGAGGTGACTGAAAAGTATTCACATCATGGCCCCCCATGGACAAGGAGGCCATGGAGGCTGGAACGGGAGCCTTGGAGAGTAGGTGCACCATAGGCCAGGGACTGCAACGCACCTGCTAAAGTTCTCTTGTACCAGGTTGGTGTTCATGTAGCAGAGCTTCACCTCCAGGAACTTCATCAAGGGCAGAATGGCCTGGGGAGGTTGGTGAGGGGTGCAGTTGGCTCGTGTCCGTTTGGCCCCAGCCCCAACCCCTGGCCCTGGCCCTGGCCCTGGGAGAGGGAAGAGCACCGTAGCTTGGTGTACACAGTCGGTGATGCCTATCTGGCCACACCTCTAAAACTGTGAACCTGCCACAGTGCTTCCCGTTTCTTCTGCCAGAAGTAATCTTTCCCCAGAAATCCTCAAGGCTCTCTTTCTCTTGCTTCCAGTAGATCTTGACTCAGCTGTTACCCTCTGAATAAGGCCTTCCTCAGGCACTACTTAAAAATACAATACCTGACACTCCCCAGCACTCCTAAGAGTGTACAGTGTGTGCTAGGGATTTAGCTCACCTGCATAAGCGTCTGCCTGGCAAGCACAAGGTCGTGAGTTTGACCCCCGGTACCAAAAAAAAAAAAAAAAAAAGTGCACAGTGCATACCTATCTGTATGTATATTTACAGGTGCAGATATAAGTAAGACTACAATTACATATACTCAGTTTTTTCCCCACACACGTATCCCCACATATCCCCCCCCACACACACACACACTAGAATGGAAGCTCTAAAAAGCAGGAATTTTGTCATGTTGTTCATGGAGCTATCCTCAGTGCTTAAATCAGTGCCTGGCATAAAGTGGATGCTCACTGAACAGCTGATGAACTAACAACTCAGGTATACCAAGCTCTCAGAGGAGGAGACTAAGGCCCATGACTGCCCATGTAGACAGGACAACAGAACAAGAAGAGGCTGAGAAGGATGTGTTCCCAGGCAGCTGATCTGCAAAGCCTAAGCCTTCTGGTGGCTGCCCCACCTGACCACCAGGGCTGGGAGACCATGCGAGACCCAGCCTGCCCCACTGAGCATCTAGAAAGAAAACTAGGTCCAGAGGCAGCATGCCTTGCCCTAAGGGAGTAATCTCTGACACCCCTAAACCCTTAGGATCTGACCACCTTGGGCCTCCTTCCCATCCCTGGACCCAACAGAGCTGGCAGGGCAGCAAAGGTCAGAAAGCAGAAGTCACTCACGTCTTCAGGGAGCACTGACTCTTTGACATCCACAAGTTTCTGGATGTGCTTGGCAATGCCCACCTCCAACTGAGGACACAAAAGGATAGATGGGTGAAAGCCAGGGAATGAGAAGGAACGCAGGAGGGTTCACTTGGGGCCTGAGTTTAAATGAGAGAATTGGGAAAGGTACATCAACCCAGGACCCACTGGGGGCCAGGGTGCAACAATGTACCTGCTCAGCCAGAGTCTGGACCCCGGTGCGGATCTCATGGCCCAGCCCAGCCAACGCGCTCTGCAACTGGGTGTGTAGTGTGTTCTGCAGCTGTCCCTGATCCAGCACGGTTCCCACCCGCCGCTCCAGGGCCTCCCATGCCAGCTGGGAGGGCAGCTTGCCAATCACCAGCCGCAGCTGCTCCATGTCATTCACCACCACACACAGCTGGAGACAGGCACAGGCAGAGGGACATGGGGCTTCCTGAACAGAACCAGGGATAGAAGGCGCCACACCCACCCCAGCCAGCCTCCAGTGCTTGGCTCCACCACTTTACCATGTCGGCTGCCTGACCCTGGTCTTTCTGGCCTGCAGAGAGCGTGCGGGCCCGGGCCTTTATAAGGCTGCAGTACACCAGGGCCAGTCGGCAGGTGTCCTGGGGAGGGTGGACAGGAGAACTGGTGAATGGCTGGGGCTCTGGGAAGTATAGACGGGGAACCAGGGCACAGGAATCTCAGTGACTTTGGGGCATTTAGGATATGGTCTTGGGAGGCTCTTAATGGGAGCGCGCCTGGGAGAAATGGGGTGAGGTCATAGTGAGGTAGTACTAAAAAGGTGGAAAAGATGCTGCACCTCCACGAATTTGACAGTAATCATGAAAGCCACCTCTGGATCCGGCCAGTCCAGCTGCCGGGCGGTGTGACTGATCTGGGCAAAGCAGGTGGATAGATCCACAGCTGATGTGCTGTGCTTGGTCAGTTCACCCAGGGGCACCAGCTGGGAGAAAGGAGGAGCTCTTAGAAAGGGGAGCTGGGGCAAGGACAAATCTGTCCCCTACTACCAAGCAAAGAGCTGGGCAGAAGACTGCAGGGAGCACAGGCAATGCTCTGCCCAGATCCCCCACCCTGCAGAATCTGTAGGCCAAGGAAGCCACAGTTCACCCCAGGATATCAGCAAACAGTGTTTGGCATGAAGCGTGCAGCGGGGGCGGGGAGGATGTCCATAGCTGGGTTACCAGCTTCTGCTGGGCCCCAGGTTCCTGCCCCCACCTTGTCCATCTGCACAGCACGCTGTACTCGCTCCAGTGCCACGCTGTATGTCTTCTGCAGCCAGGAAGGGATGGCTGGCTGGAACCAGTGGTGAAAACCATCCAAGGCCAGGACTCCATCCCTGCGGAGAGCTGGGGCTCAGCCTGGGGATGACCAGAGGCAGCCCACCCATAGGCAAGCATAGCCCACCTGTCTAAAGAGGCTGAGCCCAGCTGGTAGAGCTCCTTGAGGCTGATGTAGAGCTGGAACAGATTCTCGCCCATCTCTGGAGACACAGGGCTGCCCACGGCTGATGTGTGGTCCTGTACCCGCTTGGCCACCTATAAGGAAAGGGCTGGTGGGCAGGGCTGAGGAGCTGGCCAGAGTGGGTGGCCTGGGAATGGTCAAGTGCCTCACCAGCCACTGCAGTTTCAGGAAAGCCGTGGAGAAGAGGTCAATCTTGAGGGCACTGGGGGAGAGGCAGTGCGTGTGACCCAGGAGTGTACACCAGGGTCCCGGGAAGGCCCAATACCCCTGACCTGAGTCTGCTCACTTGTAGAAGATCTTATTCCATGTGCGCTGGCATTGGTGCAGGTCACCCAAGACATCTTGTACCAGGCTGAGCAAGGCCTTGCCTGCCTCCAGCATGCCCTGACAAGGACATAGGTGGGCTGAGCAGGGTCACACAGCAGGGCACCCCACTACCCATCCCCTTGCTCCAGTTCCTACCTGCACCATGGGCTGATGGTGCTGCTGCTTCAGGTGAAACCATTCAACTGTGCCAGTCTGAAAGCAGAGAGGCGGTGAGCAGGGAGGGGTTACTGGGCCTAGGCACATGCCCCCTACCCCAGGCCAGATGCCATACCTGCAGGGCCTCTGTCACCAGCTGGGGCAGTGGGGCGGTGTCCTGGCACAGTTCTCCAAAGGCCTTCATCTTGCACATCTGCACCAGGACTCTGGGTGACAGAGGGCTGTGTCCCAATGCCTGCAGCTATACTCCCCATTGCTCTCCACTGAGCTCCCCATCCCTTCAGGGTCCCAGCTGAGCACTCAGCCCTGACCTTCCGTGGAAGCAGAACCAGAGCCACCAACCTGAGGAGAGACTGCAGCCGGGCTGGGGAGTCAGACACAGAGAGGGGGAAGACGGAGCGAAACTTCCGGATGAGAGAGAGGCCGTAGGCCAGCAGGGAGGTGAACGAAAGGGTCAGCTCCTCCAGCTGCAGTAAGGAAGAAACCTCAAGGCAGGACTGCTTATGGGCTCCCAGGTCCCAGTTCCTGTTTCTCCCTGAGCCCTACCTGCCCAACACCCCTCACCCCACCTACTCCCACACCTACCTGTTCTGTCTTGAGCCGGCCCTGGATCCACTGGTACTCAATGCTGGTGATGGGGTGCAGGAGGCAGCTACTAGGGAACTCCAGCTTCTGGTAGAGGTGGCTGTAGGCCAACCACTGCCTGCAGGGACAGGAAGCCCTCAGCCAGGCCCAGCAAAGAGACCGCATTTCCCCTGCTCCACAATCTAGTGGCTGCTGTGCCCCACAGGATTTTGTCTCCATAGATGTTTTCTAAATCATATCTCTGTCTCTCTGCCCACCACCCCCACCCACTTCTCTTTTGAGACAGGGTCTTGCAAATTGTCTAGTCTGGGCATGAACTTTGGATTCTCCTACCTCAGCTTCCCAAAGTGCTGGGATTGGGCTGGGAGTTTAGCTCCCAGCACTGAGCATGGCCCAGGGGACCTGACAGACACTCAGTACACAAGTACCTGCTTGGCAAGCATAAGGTCCTGAGTTCAATCCCCAGTACCAAAAAAAAAAAAAAAAAGGAAAGAAAGAAAAAGAAAAAGAAAGGTCCTCCAAAGTGCTGGTATTAAAGACCTGTACCTCTATACCTCTATACCCTGAACCTATGTCTTAAATTTGGCTATTTGTAATTTCACAACTTTAGAATTTCCTGCTTCATTTGAAAATAGCAGATTCAGAGATCCAACAGTTGAGCTGGACAAGGCTCAAGTAAAGAGCATGGAGGGCAGGGAAGAAGAGCAATTCAGGAACTGGCAGAGGTACTGGACACCGCTGCTGCCCCCTGCACCAAGTGCTAGGGCTCTAAGGGCCTCTCTCTCTATCCAGAGTCTGCAGCCTCTTCTGACCCCACCCTCAGCTTCAGCAGCGCCACCTAAAGTTGCCCTCCTTCTGCCTCCCAAATGCTCAGCTTCAAGCCAGGCACATTATTCTGTCCTTCCTTCCTTTGGCCAACACTGATTTCCTGGTATTCCTAGCACTGAGCCTGGCCTAGGGGACCTGACAGGCATTCAGTACACATTTTTCAAGGACAGTTAAAGTTTGTTCATTTGCTGACTTGGAGGCTATGACACAGGGAAATGGGGTACAGTTAGGCCAGGGAGCAAACTCAAATGCTCAGGACTTGGAAGATACAAGGAAATGGGTCGATGGCAACTGGGCTGGACAGAGGTGGTTCTGCTGCTCTGATCTGGCCAACCTTGAAATCCCAGTGCTTTGGTTACATGAGCAGCTGGAGATGAGTGTTGTTTTTTTTCTTATTTTTAAGACAGGGTCTCAGGGGCTGGGGATTTAGCTCAGTGGCATAAGTGCCTGCCAGGCAAGCATGAGGTCATGAGTTCGATCCCCAGTACCACAAAAATAAAACAAAAACAAACAAACAACAACAACAAAAAAAAAACAGGGTCTCACTATATGATTTAGCCTGTTCTTGAACTCACTTTCTAGCCCAGGCTGGCCTCAAACTCACAGCAATCCTCCTGCCTCACCCTCTCGAGTTTTTTTGTTTTTGTTTTTGTTTTTTTTTTTGTCTTTTTCATTTTTATCGGCACTGGGGATCGAACTCACGACCACCTGCTTGCAAGGCAGGTGCTTATGCTGCTGAGCTAAATCCCCAGCCCGACCCTCTCGAGTTTTGAGATTATGGGCCAGGACCACCACACCTATCTTTCTGGAGTTTTTTTGTTTGTTTGTTTTTTTGTCTTTTTTATTTTTATCGGTACCAGGGATCGAACTTACGACCGCCTGCTTGCAAGGCAGGTGCTTATGCCGCTGAGCTAAATCCCCAGCCCCCTTTCTGGAGTTTTAAAAGTTGGCAACTGATTCAAATCTTAAAACAGTTTGGAAGGCCAGGAATATAGCTCAGTGGTACAGTGCCAGCCTGGGCAAGTGTGAGGTCCTGAGTTTGATTCTCAGTATCTACATAAATAAATAAATAAATAAAACAAAATAGAGTTTGCTCCAAAGAACACTCTTCAAAGGATCAGACTGCCAACCCATAGGTGGGCAGATAAAGTGGTAGAGGCTGGCATCCACCTACAATCCCCAGGGGCTCCATGCAGGGCTGTGCACTCACGCCAAGGACTGGTGGAAGTCAGACAGGTCCTTTTGCATAGCATGGAGAAAGAGGATGGTGGTGGCCTGGGGACTCAGCGACCCATCCCAAGAGGTACTGCCTACCTGAGGGAAGAGTGGAAGGGCGTCAGGCTCTGACAGACAGCCTTGGTGGCTCCCAATTTGGAGAGGGAAGTACCTTGTGCTGGGTGACCTCGTGGGACACGAGCTGCTGCAGAAGGTGGAGGTGTACCGTATAGCTGGGCTGGGAGCGGCTGGCTGCAGTGGCCCTCTGTAAAGAGGCCAGCATAGCTGTGAGTAGAGTGGACGGCCAGTCCTCCCCACCCTGCCCACTGAGGAAGCAAGACACAGTCCTACCCGCTTGTGAATGAGCTGGAACTGGAGGTGGCACCAGCCACGGTCTGGGTAGGTCTCAGTGCGGGGCTCCAGGGGGTACCACTGGTCTTCTCGGCAGTGCAGGTCCTGGCAGGCAGGAGACACCCTCACATAGTCGGGGCTGGGGGTGCCAGGCTCTGCTGGGGCAGCCCAAGCCTTCCCAGAGCCCTTATCACTTCCCAGCCTTCTCACCTGCAGCCTCAGAACCACATTGCCCAGAAAGTCATCTTGGCCTTTGTCTTTCCGAGCCTCCTTGAAGATCCTGTTTCAGGTACAGTTAGTGAGGGGGAAGTACCTGAGGAAGCAGGCTGGAATCTGCCCCTCCCCCTGGTCTATGGCACTCAGGCCCTAGTGATGAACCTATAGCCCAGCATCTGGTGCGTACGCTGTCAGAGGGCAGAAGGAGCCCCTCCTTTCCTGTGAGCCCCAGGGCACCCACCTTCGAAGCCCATGCAAATCTGTAAGCTCCCCAAGCTTCTGTCGGACAGACTCCACAGTATCCATGTCCCTGGTGGATCACAGGATTGAGCAAATGAGGGTGCCTCTGATCCTTTCAGGGAGGAGGCTCTGCTGTTGTCACTCCTGGCTCCTTTCTCCCTCCCTCCCTCCCTCCCTCTCTCTCTGGATATAGGATCTCACTATGCAGCCCAGGCTGTTCTCAAAGTCTTAGCGATCCTCCTGCCTCAGCTTCCCAAGAGTTGGGATTACAGGTATGCACCACCATAGCCGGCAACTCTGGCCCCTTGCCTTCCCTTGTTTGGGTCTGTACCTAGACCCCCCCCCATCTCCCAAATGGGTGCATGGCAAGGGCTCAAAGGAATGAGACACCTGGCATGGTTTTTAGGGCTGCAGGAGGAGTGAGATCCTTGGCAGAGCTGGTAACTCTACTAGCCAGCCAGCAGACTGACCCTGGCAGCTCGTATTTAATCAGAACAAGCAAGGAGCTGAGAGGACAAGGGAGGAAAACCTGAGCAGGATCTTGGGAGGGGCTCAAGGACCCCTCAGAGCAACAGATAATGCTAATTAAGGAAAACTATCCAGAAAGTCTCCAGGGGCCTCAACTGTGGCCTAGCTTGCCCCCTGAGGTATCTCCTCGCCCTCAGCCCTCAGATGAATTGTGCCTGGGCCACGATGCAGCCCTGCACCTGTATTCAGCCTCAGCAGCTCCGAGTCACTCACCACATGTCCAGGTGAAAGCTTGCATTTGTTATGTCCTCAAACTCCCTGCAGGGAGGAGAGGGTGTGGTAGAGGCCCTTCTAGGGTTGGAGGTGCTTGTAGGACACCCACACCAACCCTGGCCCACAAGGACCTCAGCCTGGAGTCCTTGTCCTCTCAAACTGACATCTCCAGTACCACCCACTGTGTAGTCTCAGGCCACTTGTCACACCTTCTCCTCCCCTCCCAACCTGCATCCCTCCATTTTTCAGGGTAAGGGTTCAGGTGGCCCCTTCATTCATCAAGAGGGACCTGACTCTCTTCGCTCCACCAGCATGCAAAGCATTTATGTCATTGATCTGTCCTGTATAGCCTACTGTCTGCCTAGCCTGCCTCGTGAGCTAGGGCCAAGCCCCTTCCCATGAACCACGAAGACCAACTGATCTCACTGACTGGGGAGACGGACACCCAGGGGAGCCCCAACGGGACATATGGGGTGGGGCCACGTACAGGATGAAGGTCTCATCCCAGACGGGGTTGAGCGTCTGGCTGATGACCTGCGTGCGGTGGGTCTGCTCCTCGGGGATGGTGTACCTCACCACAGCCTTCTGCCGACGCCGGGACCCTGGGCTGCCCCCTGGCATGCTCACCCCCTGCTCGATGCCCAGCAGGCAGTAGGGGTCACTGAGTCCTGAAAGGAGGGAAGAGGAGGCACCAAGGAGTTAGCCAAGACCCTTTATTAGTCCCACCTCCCTCCCAGAGCTGAGAGGACAGGAAACCTGCACGGGGACCCCTTCCGGCCCAGATGCCAAGCACTGAGGTCAAGCACTGAGGCCAGGCCTGGGGGGATGCAGGAAGATGGGGATTGCTCACAAGGGTCAGAGCAATGAGGAGGAGGAGGAGCCAGCAAGAAGCCCCTCAGAGTATGGGCCATACTCACCACTGACATCTTTACCCAGGATGCCCTTGGCTTGCTTTATTGTTGCCTTCAGACAAAATATTGGCTTCTAGAGGAGTGGGAGAGTGTGGCCTGAGTCCCCAAGAGGGCTGGGTTTTCCAGGTCCCCCATTGCTCCTGGGCAGCTCCCGCCCCTGGGCCCATGCTACCTCCAGCTCCTTGGCCTGCTGCAGCATGCGCTTGTGTTCCTCAGGCTGCACCTGGAAGGCCTGATAGGGAGGCAGACGGTGGGCAGCTGGACCAGGAAGGGAGGGCTCTGAGTCCAGGTTGAAGGAAGGTGGTGGGGTAGGGGCTGAGCTCACCTCCTGCAGGTATTGTAGCAGCTCAGAGGCCTCCACCACATGGTTGGGCTCTGGCTGCCCCAGGCGGTATAGGACAGTGTAGAGCACTTCCTCATAGAGTAGGTCCCGCTGCAACACCACAGGGTCAGTCACCCCAGGAACCCCACCAGCACAGCCACCCCTGGCACCAACAGTGCATACCCAGAGTGAGGGCAAGCACCACTCACGCGGTGGAGGAGGCTGAGGCTCAGAAGCACATCTCTCCTCCTCCGGTGCACTGCCATCAGCCCTGGCCAGTGGCTGAGGGGCTTTCAGGAAGATACAGACCTGATGCCCCCACCCTTGTGACCCCCCATCACTCAGACTCTTACCTCCTTGGGGGAGAAGTGGTAGGATGCAGGGTTGACCTGGGGAGCAAGATGGAAAGACCAGGTATCCTTGGAAGCCTGCTCCCTTAGATAGGAAGGCCCAGGCGTAGGGCAGGGCTGCCCCAGCCTCCATTCCCACCCATGTGCCACACCTGTTCCCACAGCAGGCCTCCTGGAGGGCTGGTCCCTGGACTGTGCTGCTCATTCCCTGGCCTGCTTCGGCTGAGGTCCATGGACACCCAGCTGGCCCAGCGGCAAAGGCCCTCTACCACCTGCCCCCACTCTCTCTTCCTTCCCCAGAGGAAACAGCACTGCTTATCGGCTGGGCCGCCTGCTCCTCACCCCAGCAGCGGAAGTGAGGCCCAGCAGCTGCGGTAGATGCCTGGAGGAGATACTTGGAGAGGTGCCCAGCAGCCTAGGGCGACTCAGGGGGTCTCTGGGCAGGAGGGATACCCTGCCTCACAGAACTGGTGCCTTGGGAGCTGGGGAAGTAGGGCATAGGAGTCAGGGCACCGAGAAGAGGAGTTAAAAAGGCTCAAATCCCAACCAGAGAGGCGTACAGTAGCTCGGAGAACATGGCAGACCTCCTCTGCCCACCCAGAGGGTTCTGCCTAGAGAGGCTAGGTCACCAGATAGGTGATGACAGCCAGCTTCCTGCACCCCAATACTAAGGCCTCCCAGGGCTGGCTCTTCTTCCTACTAAGACCACTCCTACCTCCTGAGTCATTTGGGCCAGGGGATCCTGCAGGTCTTGAACCTTGCGGCGCCTTATCTTGATGGCTTGGCGCAAGAGAGGAGGGCGCTGCTGGGGGCGGGAGAGGCGAGTGGCCATGGTGGCTGGCTCTGCCCTTCCCTCTGCAGCCCTGTTATTTCAGGGTGAAGACAGCAAAGCCACAGAATGATGCAAAAAGAGCCCTGAGACTGCCACCCTCTGCTGGCAGACAGTGGAGGGTGGGAGGGAGGTGGGGCTGGGGGATGGAAGAGTCAGGATGTCACCGCCTTGAAGCAGCTGCCTCCCAAGTCCCCTGCCCTTTCCTTGGGCTGGGATCCTTCCAGGATCCTCCTCAGGCTGGAGCTGAAAGTGGGCCCTGTTGGAGGGTGGGGCCCACAGAGAACCCAGGAGGATGCAGTGTTCCTGTAGGCGCAGTGCCTGGCCCTGCCCTGCCCTGTCCTGCCCAGCCCACATGTTGCATTGGGGGAGCTGACCTGTACCCGTGGAGCTCTCTTGCCAGGCTTCTTTGAATGGTTCCCAGGCCTGGGCAGCATGGGGCGGGCTCAGGGGATTCCTGAGAGGCATTTCCTAGCAGGCTGGGCCTGCTCCACCCCACAGGTGACATTCCATGGACATGACAGGATCTAGCTGTGCTGGCCATGGACAGCCCTGTGGCTACTGCCTCACTGACTGGTCAGAACACTCCTTCAAACACTAGTGTCAGGACTCGGCCAAACCCTGGGAGCTCCTGGGTGGGTAGGAGAGGCCATACAACCCATCTCTCCGGGGCACAGCCCTCAATGGACAGGAAAACAGACACTTCGGCACTAAGCTTCCCCAGAGCTCCTTGACCTGCTTAACCTGGGCTGTAGGCGGGGCCCAGGCTGGCCCTGGGCTCTGACTGTTCCCCACCCTTCTGTGACCTCCAGGTCCGTGGGCAGGCAGGTAGGAGGGCACACAATTTAGTGGCCTAGGGGCTAGGGATTTAGCTCAGCGGCATAAATGCCTGCCTTGCAAGCAGGCAGTCGTGAGTTCGATCCCTGGTACCGATAAAAACGAAAAAGACCAAAAAAAAAAAAAAAAAAAAAAATTTAGTGGCCTATACCACACTGATGTCCCAGCTGGGCTGCCCAATGGTGACCTCTTAGGGTCCTAACCCATGTCCCTCCGACTCCCAGCCTAAGCCTAGGGCCAGGGTCCCTACCTAGAGTCAGCAGGAAATGGGGACTGGCATACTGGGGACTCAAGACTGGGTCTGCCTCCAGCCAGGGGCTGGGGCCTCCGTGGTAAGGGGAGCACCAAATGGGCTGTGAGGATACGCAGCTCTTGGAGAAGGAACGGCCTCCACAACTCAGAGAGCACACCAGTCACCATACACAGGCAGAGTCATTACTTCATTTTTACTATTTCACAGTTTTAGCAAACAAATCAAGGTGCAAACAGGGTTTATTTCACATTAATATATTAACTAAATTTTTGTCAAATAAATAGATAATCTCTTTAAATAACCATCTCCTCACTTCGTGGCCCGTCCAGGAGACGATCAAGAACAAATCTTCGTGCATCTGGGGACATGGGAAGTTAAAGGCCCTGCGTCCAGGAAGAAAAGGCTGAAGGACCTGTCATTTCGAGGGGTCAGCACACAGGGTGGGGCCCTGGTTCCCAGCCTGCCCTGCGGCCCCCAGATGATGGGACAGACATGCACTCTACGGCTCCTGACAGGAAGCCTCGTGTAGATGGAAAGGAGATAAGCGGGAAACCAAATTTCAGAATCACTAGCAGAGAGCACAGGGGATTCCTTCTTGGCTGCAGGAGTCTGTGCCCTGATGCCACCCAACTCCCGCTACACAGTAAAGCCCTCGAAGCCACAGGTGGCAACAGAATGCCCAAGAACAGGGGAGGGGGGTGGACATGACTGGAGGCTGGGCCTGGCCAAATGGAATGTGGGCTATGGGTGTGTCAGGACAGCGGCTCAAGGTCAGCCACAGACCAGCAGGAGGAATGTCAGCAAGCCCTGGCAAAAAAATAGGCGGGAGACACACATGGCTGGTTTCATGAAGCTCACAAGGCTGAGTCCAGAATTGCTACCAGACTGTTGGGGCTGGACTGTGGTGGAAGAGGTGACCAGAGGTGATCTTCCCTCGGGTGGGAAGGAGCATAGGACAGGAACCACAGGACACTCTGTGCTCCTGACAACCCAAGACGGTGAGGAAGCCATGGCAGTGGCGGAGAGGCTGGGGCGCCGCTCCACACTTCCCAAAAAAGCTACTTCCTGGTCACTGTTTATCATCAGCCCTGGGGAAGCACAAGGCCCCGCCCATCCCCCAGCGCAGGTGCAGCCAGTCCCACAGAGGAAGGGTAGGAAAGAGCCATGAGAATGGAAGGCAGGGAGCTGGGCGGAGTCTACTGGGTCTTCTTATCTTCTGGGGGGTAGTAGGGGGGTGGTGGAGGCTGGCTCTAAAGAAGGAGGAAAGAGCAAGTTAGGAGGTTTGGAACACACTGCTGTCTCCCCGACTCCCAGCCCATGTGGTTGAGGGCGGCAAGCTCCCACTCACCGTGGGCATGTAGACATTGTGTGGGTTCCCCGGATTGTAATAGGCACTGGCAGCTGCCTCTGCGGCCTTGGCCTCAGCTATGGGAGCAAACACAGGACAGGTGTCAGCAGTTCCTCCCTCTTCTAGCCCCGTGAGCCCCAGTCCCAACACTGCTGAGCCAGTCCAGCAGCAAAAGCAGTTTCCTGAGCACCAGCCTTATCCTGGCACTGTCCCTTCTAGTCCCTTTATATGTCTTACCTACAGCACAATCCCACCAGGTGGTCCTGTAATCACCTCTTTAGAGATGATAAGACTGAGACACAGGGAAGCACGTCACTAGCAAAGGGACACACAGGATGGAATCTACCTCCCTACCCCTAGCCCACTACCCTGCTTGTCTCTTGGGGTGATCTCTCAGCCAGGGGGTCCGCTGGGTTCTAGTGGCCTCTAGCCAGTCTCTGAGGCTCTCTGCAAGGCCCTGGGGAGGAGAGGGATGGTCCCGAAGGACTGCCGACAGTCCAGGGGCCTCACCTGCAGGAGTGGAGGGAACATCGGGGCTGCTGACCGGGGGCTCCATGGGTCCGGGATAGGGTGGTGGTGGGGGCTGCACGTATCCCATGGCTCCATCCATCATGGGAGGTCCTGGATAGAACTCTGCTTCATAAGGGTGACAGGGACTCAGTGAGCAGCAGGCCTTGCCCCTGAGAAGGCCACCTCCCAGAAGCTGCCCCCTCTAGCTCCTTGGGGCACCTTCCAAGCCTCTACAGCATCTGTTATTTCTGAAGTGGTAAAAATACAGGCCTTCCCGTTGCATCCCCTGCCTGGAAGGGGTGGTCAGTGGGTAAGGGAAAGGGTGGGGAGCAAAGGACACACTCACCAGGTGGGGGCGGTGGATAGGGGTAGCCAGGAGGGCAAAGGTACATTCCATTGGCGACTGGTGGGGGAAAAACATAGGCCCCGCTGGGCATGTAAGGGTACCCATAGGCTCCACTGAGGGCTTCACCTCTGGAAGCTATAAGTACAAGGGGCGAGAGAGATGGCTCTGAGTGTCACCTGTCTTGGAGCTGGGGGAGGGTGGACAACCCAGGGGAGGTGCCAGGTCCCACGACTGGACTGTGCCCCTAGACGTGCCCTCCCACCACTTTATTCCCCCGGAACACTTGGGTCTGCCTCAGGCAGGGATGAGGCAAAGGGAAAGGATGCAGGATGGGGACAGAGCTGGGCAGAGGGAGCAGGTGAACAACATGGTGGCAGGAAGGTGCGGGGATGGGGGTTAGGGGACAGAGTGAATTGCTCGGGAGTTTAAATGGTTGTTTGACACCGTTTAGGAGTTAGGTTTTTTGTGTTTATAAGGTCACAGTAAAATGTTGCGTCCAAAGCACTGTGTCAGCTTACTGTACACCTGCTCAAGGCAGAGGAAGCCCAGGCTTGGAAGTATAAGAGTGCACAATAGGGGCTGGGGATTTAGCTCAGCAGCATAAGCACCTGCCTTGCAAGCGCCTGGTCGTGAGTTCGATCCCTGGTACCGGTAAAAAAAAAAAAAAAAAAAAAGACTGCACAATAACCTTGGGCTTTCTCCCCAGCGCCCAACCCTGGTTGGCTGGACTGCAGATACTCCTGGTGCTTACAAAACAAAATCAAAGGGGGCGAGGTCAAATAAAACCCCCACACATTCACCGTGGCCTTGTACGTAATTTTTAGAGCCTAGATACCTTGTGATGCCACCTGGAGCATGCGCTGTCCGAACTCAATGGCACCCCCTGTTGTGAAGGTCAACTTGTAAGAGGCAGATCCTTCCCAGCCACCTGAGAAGGGGTAAGGACAGTGAATGAACAGCACAGGAAAAGAAGACAAGTTATGTCCAAAGTGATGGCCTGTGTCCTCTCCAGCGCCCCTAGAGACCAGTGGGAAAAGGCTGGGACTTCTGCCTTTTTCCCGTGGCTGTTTCTTAGACCTGTCACTCACAGACTGCCTGGTGCTGCAGACTGGCCTGGCTCTGCTGTGCTGTCACCCTTAGAACAGTGGCTTCTTGAAACAAGATTACCCTCCTGACCTCAGCCCAGTAAGCGCACAGGCACAAAGGCAGCTTGGTTTGGCTTCACAGCCAACACTGATTGAGGGTCTCTCCACCCCCAACGAGCACTCGGCAGCTTTCTAGGAGCAAGCAAGGTTGGCAATAGTGAATGTCCCAGCTCAGGGCAGACATCTCATTGAGGGGGCCAAAGACAGACCCCACCTCTCCCAGCTTGGTTTCAGCCTTAAAGGGGAACCAAGAGGCACCTGACAGTGAGCAGCGTGGGCCTGGCTGAGTGTGCAAGCTGCCTTGTCCTGGGAACAGGACACAGCTCTTCCCCACATCTAAAACCTGTGCACACTGCCCAGAGCGTAACAACAACTAGTTCTCAGTCATTCCACAGACTTCATTTTCTGAAGAGGTGGCTGTGTTGCCAACATTAATCCCAGCATTTCCCAGTTCCTGACAACAAAAACCCATGTGTTCAGTGCTGCTGACTGTCCAACTTGCCCTTTTCCTGTGCTACTAGGGACTGGATGAAGGGCCTCACGTTGGGCAAGGGCTCCAGCACTGAGCTACACCTGCAGTCTTTTGTATTCCTCTGTCCAGCTCTAGTTTTCTTGTGGTAGTGAGGATTTTAATTTAGGGGGACTCTACCACTGAGTTACATGATTTTTACATTTTCTTTACTTTCTGAGACAGGGTCTTGCCAAGCTGCCCAGGAGAGACTCAAACTTGATCCATCTGCCTCAGCCTCCCTCAGTGCTAGCATTACAGATGTGAACCACTATACCCAGCTAAGGTGTTTTCCTTAAAGATTAATACAGAGCTGGGAAGGAGACAAAGTGAAGGCAATGAGTATCTAAGATGATGGCCCCCAGGTGCAGTCAGAGGCACCCAGAGCATCTCCTTGGAAGCCCACGTGTGTTCCTCTCCTCCCATCACCAACCTCCTGCTTCAGCCTTCACGGTTCCCTTGATATAGTTTGCACCAAACACAGGCTGCTTGATCTCACAGTCCTTCATCAGATAAAACGGCATCATGAAGGACTGCATGGCATCCTTGCCCTTGGACAGAAAGATGACCTGTGGGGAGAAGACGAGGACCATCTGTGCCAGAACCACAGCCTACTGGGCTATTGCTTCCTACCCACTTCCTACACGCCATGAGTCTGGCAGCTCACACCATGGCCGGGAGGCCCAGGCACTCTGCACCACACACTCCCAGGGAGAGCTGGGAAAGCGGCCCAGTGTAGCCTCAGGAATTCACAGGAAGGTACCAGCCACTGACCCTGAGCAGGACAGACTGCTGCTAAGTGGTGGAGGAGGCGGCAGATGTGGGGTGCCACAATATAGGAAGTCCCCAGCTTATGAACAAGTTTCATAATGGGTTTCATTCCTGGAGCATTGTTCCTAAGTCAGATTCTTGTGTAAGCAGATGGTAAGCCTTACACATCTGTCAAAGTTTTCCCCTCCAGTATTTGTAAGTTGGGGCTTGAGGTGCCTGGGAAAAGGAAGTGGGGGCAGGTCGAGCAGGGGGGGGGGCAGGGCTGTAGGCATGGGAGGCTCCCCAGGGACTAGCCAAGGATGGGTGTGGCTTCAACCTTTGTGGCCACCTGACCTTCCCAACAGCTGCCCAACAGCAAGAGCCCTCCCCTCCCCCGCTCTATGTGCCTGGAGGGGGAGGGGGACGGAGGGGAAGGGTGCGGTTTCAAAACTACTGGTCAGCTCCATCTAACTGAACAGGGGAACTTAAGTTCCCAGAACCGGGTTTGGGAGTTACTGTATCTGCCCACTGTGGTGATGGAAACACAAAGATGTGCTCCAGTTCTGCAGGTGTCACCAGGGTGCAGTCACAGGCAATGACCCTTTTCTGAGACACCATTCACATTGCATTCTTAGAGTCCTTGTGGCCGGCTCTTGGGCAAGGCTCATTCTTTTCTTCTTTTTTTTAATTGGTACCAGGGATCGAACTCACGACTGCCTGCTTGCAAGGCAGGTGCTTATGCCGCTGAGCTAAATCCCCAGCCCCATGGGCAAGGCTCATGCTGCAGTCCAGCATTTCCCACTCTATGGGGTTCTGCCAGGTGCTCTGCCCAGTTTAGAGGCCACAGGCAAGCCATGGTACCCTGTTTATATTTATCACTCTGGACATCTACACAGGCCTCCCAGGAGATGCCAGGCCGGAGTCATCCTGGCAGCTCCATCCAACTCTAGAGAGCTCTGTGGCAGCAGCTCTGAAATTCACATTGATTTACTGCTCGGCAGTCAGCTCAGCTGCACAAAGCGCTCTGTGGTTTCAGAGACAGGAGCATGTGACAAACAGGCAGCGCAAGGCACTCACATTCACCAGAGTTCAGAGGCCACGAGACACATGTGACCCTCCAATCACCATTTGTTTTTTGTTGCTGGGCAACTCACCCGGTAAGGGGTAAGGTACACGGTACCTTTCTTGGTCCCTTTGAAGGCTTCTGGCACATTCTTCATGTCACTGAATGTAAGTTCCACATGATCATAGGACATCAGGATGCTGCAGTGAGGAAAGCGGAAAGGCACTGAGGCGGATGGAGATACACGGGCAAAGTTGCTCAGCACAGACTCCACAGGATAGTGAGGCGGCCATTAATGCAGTCATGGAAGGCTGTAACCAGCACCACAGCGTAACGCAGGGCTCCTGGAGACAACCTCAACCCTTGAGGTGGCTTAGACTACTTGGGTTCCATCTTCTACCCCCTCCACCACATACTGAACTAGAAGTGTTGACAGCTACATCCCCAGTCCATTTTATTTATTTTCTTTTGAGACAGGGTCTTGCTACGTTCAGGCTGGCCTCATTCACAATCCTGCCTCAGCCTCCCAAGTGCTGGGATTACAAGTGTGGGCCACCACACCCACCAGTCCTTTTAATTTCTTTTGTCTTTTTCTTTTTTTCAGTTCCGGGGATCGAACTCACGAATGCCTGCTTGTGAGGCAGGCGCTTATGCCGCTGAGCTAAATCCCCAGGCCCGTAGTCCTTTTAATTTCAAAACAGTGTCTCAGAAGGTTGCCCAGGCTTGCCTCAAACTTGTGATTCTACTACTCAGCCTCCCAAGTACCTAGAGTTACACACACAAGCCATCACACTGTTATACTTCTCTTTTCTTTCCTTCCTTTATTTTTAACTACCTTCTTTCTTCTTTTTTGTTGTTGCTTTTTGTTTTGAGACAGGGTACCACTACGCAGTCCAGGCTGGCCTTGAACTTGTGGCAGTCCTCCTGCCTCGGCCTCAAGAGTGCTGGAAGGCATGGCTGGCTGGCTTGGCACATTCTGTGCATCTCTGTCTCTGTCTGTCTCTCTTTCTAAGGACTGACTGAACCCAGTATCTTCATCTAGCCTTTTTCTATTTTTAAGAGTAGGTCTCACTACGCACCTGGATGGTTTGGGATGGGTGTGAATTTAAGATTCTCCTGCCTAATCTCCCAGAGTACTAGGATTACAAGAGTATATTACTGCACATGGTTGACATTCACTATTTTAAGTACCAAAATCTAAACTCTGGACTTAAGTTTTAATTGCTGTGAACAAAACTTTCTGAAAAGAAATGAGACTGCAGCTTTTTTTTTTCCCCTGAGATAGAGTCTCACTGTAATTTAGGTGGGCCTTGAACTCATGGCGATCCTCTTGCCTCAACCTCTCAAGTGCTAGGATTACAGGCGTGTACCTTCACTCCCAGCTGAAGCACTTCTTAAAAGACGGAGACTTTTATTTAATAGCACTGAGCCCTGAGCCAAAGAAGAGACCCAGCAGCAGGGTAAGATTCTTGTCCCAGAAAAGTCTCACTAAGAGAAAAAGGAAAATAGTCCCAAGAGATGGTACTAAATGGCATCCAAAGCATTTCCCCAGGCCCAGGAACTGGTTCTCACTCACAGATGCAGCAAAACAGCAATGTGACGCTTCTCTGATTACAGGATAAAAAAAAAGTCCACTGCACTTTGTTCCATTCACTATCCTCTTCCCCCTCCCAAATATCACGACTTTCTTGACTGGGGAGAGTGAGAAAGAGAGACAGCCCAGTAAATGGGGCAGCACAGGAAAGAGGAGACTCAGGAATAGGCTGAGTCCATCAGAGCACGCAGGGAAGATGCAGACAGTATTCTGAGACCTGAGGCAGCCTGGGCCTTCCTTTTCCTCCAACTCCTCAAGCATTCCCAAGTGACAGGACACAGGCTAGGGCCACAACTCTTCACTCTACCATGTCTTCCTTGAGGATTAAGTTCTTCCTAAGTTCCTTTGCCTTCAAAAAGCAATTGAGAGATGGCATAGCTCAACCTAGGACTGGCCGGTACGCCCAAGAAGTGAGCAAGGACAGAATGCACTAGGGGTAGAGAGTGGAGGGAGAAGCGGAAAGTACTTTTAACTGAGAGACCACTGTTCTGGAGAATAACCCAATACTCAGGGTGTGGTGGCCTCCGCCTGTAATACCAGCACTCAGAAAGCTGAGGCAGGAGGATGGCTTTGAGTTTCAGGTCAGCTTGGGCTCCATAGTGAGTTCAAGGACTGCCTAAACTACATAGCAGAGACCTTGTCTTACAGAGCAAACAAAACCAAAACCAAAGCACACAAAAAGGTGTGTGTGGGGGGGATGGGGAGCGAGAAGGGCAACAGACTAAGCTTCCCAAAGGACCCACACTCTTCCCAGGAACGTTAGGGAGTTAGGAATTGACCAGTGTTAGCTATTTAATTTTATTTCTGGGACCTGTCTTTCACTTGTGATTCTGGAATCTACTGGACGGCTGTATAGAGGTAGCTAAGCTGACTTTGGGACTCCTTTCCTGGAATTCACGTCTTTGTGATTCACATCTCTGTAATCTCCTGGGCCTCACATCCCCTATCCGGAAATGTGTATAATAATTTCTGCCACAGGATTGCTGTATTAAAGTGGAAGGGTCGGAGCTGGGGGTTTAGCTAAGCGGCATAAGCGCCTGCCTTGAAAGCAGGCAGTCGTGAGTTCGATCCCCGGTACCGATAAAAAGGAAAAAGACCAAAAAAAAAAAAAAAAAAGTGGAAGGGTCGCAGCGGCTGCCGCGTAGTAAAAACATAGTAAACATCCGATAAATGGCAATTATTTTTGTTGAAATCCCCTCCTCAAGCCTTAAAATCAGGGAATCTAAGGATCTAAAACCACTCGCCCCAAACACCGAGCACAGCCAACAGTCAATCAGCTCCATCCCCCAGCTGATGGCGGAATCCCCGCCTCCCCCCACGACCCACCCACCACCCTCCAGCCCAGCCCGGCCGTTACCCCTACCCACCTGCGCTTCATCAACTGTCTCTGCAATGTTTATTCCCACAGCCCACCGCCCGCAGCCCACCACCTACACTCCAAACACCAGTCCTATGGTTCTCTAGGATCCTTCCGCAGTGTTTTCACCTCTCTGTGTTGTTGACGATCACTCCGCCGCCCTCCGAGTGATTCTTGTTAAGCGCCATGGTTTCTCCGAAAGGGGTCCCGAGATTCGCAACGCAGTGCGCCTGCGCTCCTCTTCAGCCAGCCCCTAATGGCGTCGTTCTTATTTCAGCCAGCCAATCATAACTCCTGTATGGACGCTGGGCCAACCACTTGCTCCCGAGTATCACGTGATAATAGTTTACTCCCTCTCCCCTTCCCCCAGTTCATCTTGCATCACAAATAAGTTGAGGACTACAATTCTCAGCAAGTCATGCTCCCACAATTTCAGCCGCTCCCAACCCTGGGGGAAAAGATGCATTTTGGAACTTCTAGTCTTTTGGACGAGTTTGACACCGCCACTCCACCTCTTGAAACAGAAATAAACAGCTCTTCACACCCGCGTTAATCCTAAAGGCCCCGCAGACTGTAACCTAAATTTGGTGTGTGGAATGCTGAACAGTTACTCACGTGATAGAAATATTCTTGCGGGGTTGGAGTGCGGGACTGTATGTATGTGGCTCTGTCCCAGCCTGGGGTAGTCAGTACAGGCCTGTAAATGAGCCAAGGACCCAGTGCTTCCCAGAGCGTAATGGATGGCCGAGTGAGAGCAAACTGCCACCCTTTCAGTGTATGTGCTGCAGAAGCGAGCACACTGCTACTCCTTTAAACCCGGATTCTCCCGGTGGGCTGCGAGAACCTCTCTGGGGTCCAAAGCCTTGGCCGGGTATTCCTACCTCTGCGCCCGCCCTCCTTGGAGTCCTAGAGAGGGCGGCCACCTACCTGCCTCTACCGAAAATAGTCTCGTGGTGGCGCTGTTCCCTCTAAAATGTTAGGCCGGGAACCGGTTCGGCCACCCTGCAGGGAGCAGTCGTTCAGTCTGGAAAAACTGAAGGAAACCAAGCAAAGTGAGAGATCAGCAGCCAGATAATATGAGTTTCAAAGCAGGGCTGGGCTGGTTCTTTTCAACACGTGATTCAGCGCCTGGCACCTCCAGCACAACTGTTACCTAAACTTGCTCTAGCCCCTAGGTGAATCTTTCAGGGAGATTGTGGGAGTGTTTATTCCCCAGGCGACTGTTCTGTGTCATTAATTTTAATTTTAAGGGATCAGAGTTTGATTTCCTGACACGTGGTAGCCAACCTCCCCTCCCACCTGCATGACTTAGCTTTTTTTTTTGGTACTGGGAATGGAACTCAGGGTCTCACTGCTTGCCAGGTACGCACTGTGCTGCTGAGCTACAGCCTGGGTCCATGACTTTGCATTTGAGGAAGATTTTCTCCATGAGAAAAGAAAAATTGCTGCACTGAAAAAAGATTATGGTGAAATTGTTCACAAGATCATATTGGACTTCGCGATGGATTAAGGATGAACGCAGTGAAATCTACCCCCCGGGCAGAGGTTAGATTAATGTTGGCACAAGTAGTCTGTGCCTCATTAAAAAAAAAAAAATCGAATGACATGCTGACTTGAATTGTTAGGATGTGTTGTCGGGCTTGGTGACGCACTGCTGTACTTCCAGGAGTTGGAAAGCTGAGGCAAGAGGAGCGTTGCAAGTTCAAGTCCAGTCTGGGCTACAAAGTGAGCCCAAGGCCAGCCTGAACTGCACAGTGAGACCTATCTCAAAAAGACCAAACAAGCCAGGGATTTAGCTTAGTGGCATAAGCGCCTGCCTGGCAAACATGAGGTTGTGAGTTTAATCCCTAGTATCACACACACACAAAAAAAACTTTAAAAAAAGACCAAACAAGCAAAACAAAAAATATTTGAGAAAGATCTACCAGAAATTTATATGACATTATCCTTTTTTTTTTTTTTTTTTTTTTTTGTACTGGGAATTGAACCCAGGCCCTCATTCTTGCCAGGCAAGTACTATACAGCTAAGCTACAACCCAGCCCAATGTTACCCTTTTTTTTTTTTTTTTTGGTCTTTTTCCTTTTTATTGGTACCAGGGATCAAACTCACAACTGCCTGCTTGCAAGGCAGGCGCTTATGCCGCTGAGCTAAATCCCCAGCCCCCTAATGTTACCCTTTTAAGGTACAGGTCTGGGAACTTGGGGTGGGCTGGTGACTTGGGGGCCACTGTATAGTTTTTCTTTTTTGAGACAGCTCATTTTTTACTTTATTTTAGTTTGCTTTTGTTTTTTGAGACAGAGACACACTACGTATTTCAGACTGGCCTTGAATTCACTGCGTAGTCCAGGCTGGCCTCAAATTCACAGCAGTCCTCTTGCCTCATTCACCTGAGTGCCAGAATTACAAGCATACACCACTGTGCCTAGCTACTTTCTTTCTTTTATTTTATACCGGGGATTGAACTCAGGACCTTGCACTTATCAGACAAGAGCTTGAGTCGCTGAGCTAAACTCCTGGCCCACCCAGCTACTTTTTAATTTAATTTAATTAACTTGTTTTTTTGAGACAGGGTCTCATATGCAATTTAGGCTGGCCTTGAGCTCACTTTGTAATCCAGGCAGATCTCAAATGATCCTCCTGTCTTGGCCTTCTTGGGGCTAGAATTACAGGTGTGCACCATCACACCCGGCTGCTTTTTAATTTTGAGACAGCATCTGGTTTAAACTGCTCGACTGTTTAATCCCACGAAGTACTGGGATTACAGGCACATACTACCAAGAGGGGTTTGTGTAATCTTTTGAACAGTTTCATTTTTTGCTATGTGCACTTTAACCAAAGTCAAAATGTTGGCAGAATGTTTTTGTTTATTTAAAAGAGCAAAAAATCCCTTCCTGTGCCTCACAGATATACTGACAGAAGAAAGGTTCTCACACGGATGTCATGTCAGCCAGAAGGAACGATTTTTCAGGATCTAACAATACCTTGCAAAGTTTGAGAAATTCCTGAAGTGACTGAAAGTGTTTTGGCCCAGACAGGACACTGTAGTCAGGAAAGCCTCAACCAGAAGCAGGAAACCCCTATCTCCCCTGCACCTAGGAAGTTACCTGTGACACCATCTTCCCACCCCTGGAAATTTACATATGGCACCAAACCTAGGACCAATGGGCTACCTGTGCATCCCTAATGCCTGCCTTAGGTTCCACCCCAAACCGAGGCTATTTACATACCCCCATGCCATGTGTCTGCCGGACAGATCGCCAGTCGCCAGCAGTGGGGGGTGCTGGTCATCTCTCTCCATGTTCTCAGAATAAAGGCCGCTTTTTATTTTATACTTCTCATCTTTTGGAAATAATCCTAGCATTTGGTGCCGTGACTCGATCAGCAGGCGATTGACTCCTGGGACACACCCAGTTGAGTCCCCTAGCCAATAACCAGATAAAATCCTGGATTAATTCCGAGCTTTTTCCTCTCCGGAGACGTCCTTGTTGCCAGCCGCCTGCACTCAGCATCGGCCAGATTGATTTCAGGTGAGCACTCCCCGGGGAACTTTTGGCACTGGGCAGCCCCAGTCGACTGTTCTCCCCGTTCACGTGGGTCTGTGCATTTTCATGTCCTTAGGACAGCCCAGGGCAGGGTTCTTTCTGGGCAAACCTGTGTCCACACTCTATAAAATCTCTCATGTTCTTTGGGTTTGGATAGCCCAAAGCAGAGATTTTTGGGACCGCCCACACTGAAAGGACTGCCTCACTTCCCTTAAAGCCTCGCGCTTTCATGGGCAAAACTGTTACTGACTCACGTGGGCTCCACTTGTAAATCTCTCAGTGATTGATGACTGGAATATACGAGTTTTTGGAACCATAGCCACCGCGTGGTGCCACAAATGAGTGACGGCTTGTTCTGAACCACCGGCTTTTTTCTTGCCTGAATCAGTCATGGGGAACGTATTTTCTAACTCCCAAAAGATGCCTTTACAATGCCTAATTTCCAATTTACATACTCTAAAAATTAAAAGTACCATAAAAACTCAACAATTAACTTTTTACTGTCAGGAGGTCTGGCCAACCTACCTGCTTATCGGCAAGTGTTGGCCCAAAGAAGGAACATTTGACCCCTGCATTCTCAGAAACCTGTATGATTTCTGTCAGACTGGCGACAAGTTTTTAGAACTCCCTTATGTTCAGGCCTTTCTTGTTCTGAGAACATGCCCATCTCTCATTAAGTCTTGTGCTCCCGTTCAGATACTTTTAGCTAACTCTACTCTGCCACAAACTTTTCCGTCCTGCCCTCCTGTGTTTTCCCGGCTGCCTCCTGCCTACCCCCAAACTCGTTCCCTGCCGTTACCTCCCGCTGGACCGCTCTCCCTTCCCCCTATGCCTGATTCTCTCAGCAGTCCTGGTCCCAATGCATCACAGATACCTCCTGCTGTGCAATTATCTCTCTCTCCACCTTCCGGGACCCATAACTCTCCCAGCAACTCTAAGCACTCTGTTAGTGCTTCCTCAAAGTCTCCGATTTCTTCTCCTGAGAATTCTCTATCCCCTACAGCATTCTCACCACCTGCCCACCACACTAGGTCTCAGTCGCTATGTCCTTCCAGCAAGCCGCGTGATTGTTCCAGCTTGCGCCGGGAACAGTTGCCATGTTGCAACCCTCTGCCATGTGGCATGGCACCGCCAGTTCAGGAGGGTCACATGGCGACAGGGCACTGCCATGTTTTGGGTCACGTGACAGGGCGCCGCCATGTTCCCAGGACCCTCACTGTCAACAGGCGCCTCCTTGTGGCTCCTCTTGTGAACTGCAACAGCCGCCCTGTTGCAGTGCACATGAGGCTTCACTGTGCTGCTAACAGCAGTCCTCTCGCTGCAAGGCACACGGTGAGACGCCATCTGCCTGTGTTTCCCAGGGTGACCAGCAGCAGCTCTGTAGGCCCTCTACAGATGATTGCTCACACACGTCTACTGGACAGATGGCTGCCCAATGGCCCTCTGCTCTGGAATCTTCTCCTCAGGCTCTGCTAGCACTTTGGGAGCAAGTTCGCCCCGAGGGGCTTGTTAACATCCATGTGCCTTTTCCCCTTTCTGATCTATCTCAGACTGCCCATAAATTAGGTAGCTTCTCTGTTGACCCACAGAATTATATCAGGCAATTTAAATTTATTACTAATTGTTATGACTTACATTTTAAGGATGTTTATGTGATTCTAAATACCACTCTCAGCTCAC